ATCATTACTCAGAGACCGAATACATCTAATTTTCTCTCAGTGAGTGTACCATGCGATTATAATATTCCATTTAATTAGATATTGCAATTAGAGGCAATCGCGACACCGTCGGCGCGAGTGGCTCGAACCGTTCATTAGCCATGCTAATTTGAACCGCTACCGTGCGCACACAATAATCTCAGGAAAAATCGCCTCCAAGGGGCAGACTGAAACCCATGCGAGTTTATGCATGCTTAATTTGCAGCGCTTAATTATAGCTCAAGTAATGCGGTTCGATGTGAAAACAACTTCCTTTTCGAATGTATGTTATATGAATAATTATACGTACGATGCGAAACAATCTAGCTATTAATTATTGATGGAAGCCTATCTAATGTAATAATCGCAAGTTTCTGAAAGTAGAATGTGTGCATGTTTACATGAAAATTGTTGTCAGAAATTATTATATTTAGCGATTAAAATAATAGCATACGCGATTACAATATTATAAGTTAGTATAGAATATAGATAATGATAAACAAACCAATAACTAAACAAATAGTTTTATTAGAAACAGTATTGATGGCTTTTGGTTTTCGCAATCATTGTTGTATTATCACCATATGGTATACACCAATTTCGATCTATTTCTAATAAGTGAGTACACAAGTAATACCTACCTACGTACCTACATACCTTGGGTAGTTCGTAATTATTAGTACCTATGTACTTAATAAGAATAATAATAATGATGCCAATACATTTATATAAGACATTCTTCGCATTTCTAATTTATATATAAATAACGAATTTCTTATTTTATAATTTTATTTATTTAATTCTTAATTGCTAAAATGCTATCTACCTAATTTTTTTTATAAACAGATATGATTGCATCAAATATACGTAAGAAAATTCACGTTAACTTTGAATAAAAAGCACACATTGCCAATTAATTCACGTCAAAACATTACAAGTTAAATAAGATATCTACTACAATCATACTGATAAACCCGTATCAGCTTTCATAATTGGGGCAATTTTGAATTTTGTATATATATCTAAATATCATACCTAAATTATAGGTCTCTGTCGTAATTTTAAACAGTGCCAATTTACTTGATAACTCTACCGTTTAAATAACATGGAATTATTGAGAGTTTCGGTATAAAACAATCAATTTTGAATGTGATATCATGTTCGGCTGTACACGAACCTTCTTACCAACCCGAAATTAACAATTATGTGCGCATGCGCATTGACACCTTTTGTCATTAAATGGTAAATAAGGCAAAAATAAACTTATAAAACTTATTATTATGTCAATTATTAATATAAAACTTTAATGTGTAAAACAAATATTTCAAAAATTGCTCATATATTATTTCATTGCCTAGGTTGCCAAAAAAACTTGGCGTCTTCATTTTTGAAGTTAGAAATATATTATTTATTTATTTTCCTTATTTCTCACTTTCGTTATATAACTTTTGCAAAATTTTAATGCGTCTAGAGACAGCAGTTAAATCATTCATTGGCGTAAGGCGTTGATTGTCAAGAAATTAGTAAATATTTTTTTTTTATTTACCTGAGGGCAAAGGCCGTGAATAGGCTTCCTACAAAGCGGACCGATGACTTTAGTGACAGCCGCAGCTATCCACTGTATGTGGAGGCCGTGAGAAAATCTTTGGTTGATGTATATTTAGCAGTCTTTCATCCGAGGTGATAATGAAGATGATGATAATTATTCACTTACATCTTGAAAACTACTAAACGGATTTAAATGATTTTTTTATGATACAAGGAATGTTCGAAATTAGTTACATCATTTCGAATCTTTTGTTGACTTTTACGAATAGGTACATGGAAGTTGGAACCCGCAACGGTGCATTAACATTTAAAAAATTTCATAAACATTCGTTCATTACTGCCGAACATATCGCATAATACACACAAAAACTTATCAACTAAGAATTTCTTGATAGAAAAAGCCAGTAAATAAACTTGTCCCGACCCGGAACTCGAACCCAGGATCTCCAGATTTATAGACAGACAATTCACGTAATTCACTTTTTAGTGTTTTTTTAAGTCGGTTGGTTTTTTGTTTATTAAATTTTTTTTAATCAAACGTTTGAAAAAATGAAATAAAGTGTATGGCAGAAGAGACCTAGGGACAAACCCGAGCGAAGCAAAGGCTAAGTCGCTAATATTAAATAAAATTGGTTTTAAAATCATTATTACGTTTATTACAATTAAACGCAATAACAACGTAGATCTATGTAGTATTATTTTAGCATGAAGTCCTCAATACTCCCTTGAGGCAAGTGTTCAATTAACTGGAATGCATCTGTCTTTAACATTTTTGAATTGTGTAGAATTAAGAAAAATTAAGTCATTTGTGGTATAGCTATAACTAGCAGAACACGCGGCTTCGCTCGCGCTAAAACTACATAAAAGAACTCTAAAATGATAGGTTTCATACAAACTTTCATCAGCTATTTTACCCTCTTATGGGATGAATTACGAAAAATACTAAAACACGTATTTAATTACATAATTGTATTAAAGAGCATTAATACCAAGTTTCAAGTAATTCTGATCATAAATTTTTTTTAGATTGTATTATAACGTGTTTTCCCATGGGAAAGAAATAATCTCCCGCGGTAAAAAGTATCCTATGTCACTTTCCAGCCCTCCAACTATCTCCACACAAAACGACAACGACAAACAAACACACTTTCACATTTATAATATTAGTATGGATGTATTAAATACTGTAATTTGATTTGTAAAAAGAGCACTTGTCGAGTTTATCCTGGCGATGTTCTACTCAGTAGTACTGCCTTCCGAGCCAACGAAGCATCCTGAATTGCCCTTGCGTGGCTTAAGACGGCCCGGAGCACGGGCCTCCCTAGTCCCTTCAATATGAGGGGAATCAGGCCATAGTCCACCACGCTGGCCAAGTGCGGACTATACATGTCTATTGAAAACTTGCTAGGTTCTCTCAGTAGTTCTCTCACATGTAGGTTTCCTTACGATGTTTTCCTTCATCGTAAGACAAGTGGTAATTCTGTTAGGAAAGATTTACACATAAAAATATTAAGAGGTGCGAGACACAGAATTTGAACCCACTTCACTTGGCTTCCTAAGCGGGCGCGTTACCACTTAGCTACGAGTACCACCGCAATAAAACAGTTAATGTAAAATATTATGTAAAAACAATAAAACAAAGAAATAATTTAAAATAATAGATTTTTATTTGTATTGCTGGTGTCTAAAACAGGCACAATATGGAGGATAGCTTCTAACCTATCCTTAGAAACGGACTTAACTATATATGTGTCTTACACAATAACAGCCCGCCAGCACGCAATACCAATCAACTTATAAAATAATCAATAGTTTACACACACTTATATAAGAATATTTACAGAATACATATGATCAACATAATGCTCTATTAGTCTTAAAATTACAATATACATTCTAATTATAAAAAAAACTTACAATACAACGTCACCGAATGGTGTCTCTGAAGTATGTCATTCACCTCCAGGTAAATTTCTAAGAAATTAATTAAATTTCTAAGAAATCTATTGTTAACTATAACGCCGGCGTGTCCGCGGTCATTGAGGGATTATAACTTGCACCAAGAATCGAACTAGCGACCTCTGAGTTAGTAATTAACACACTTGTATGTTTCAATCAATTTCCTATGATTTTTCAAACATTGAAAAATTCATTCAATTGTTTTTTTTAAAGCAATCAAACAAGTTTGTTTTTAAATTAAAATACTATTAACAGAGCACTTAATAGCCTATATTATTACGTCAGGCGGTATTGTTATTAAACATTCTAGAAAGTAATATTTCGAACTTCACTATCCATGCCCATTAGGAAAATCCATCGCTTATATTTAAACCTCATTTTTTAATATAACAATAAAAAAAGTTATAATAAGGGCAATGTACTATGTCCATTTTCCAATTCTAAGTCTCTAATTAAAAATAAACGTCGTAACATTTTACATATATTTATAAATAATAAGGTAACTAATTTCGTTTGTCCGTTAATCATATGAAAAAATGAGCAAATTAATAATATTCGTAACCTATACAGATAAGTAAAATTGAAGTGTCTGTTGGTAATATCAAAATAACAGCTTTTTACTAAATATGTATGAAAGTATATACGGTACTTATTATGAAACAACAATTTTCGATTTTTTTTGTGTGTTTATTTCGGTTAATCTACTAAACTGCTGGACCGATTTTGACGGGACTTTCACTGGCAGATAGCTCATGTTATAAGGAATAACTCAGGCTACTTTTGTTTTGGAATAAGAATCAGGGTCCAGGTCCGGGATCAGGGTAAGTCACTAGTTAAAATGTATATTAATAACTCATGTAGATCACTCAAGATTTGTAAATTTGAATCATCATAAAAGGCAACTCATTGCCTTAATCTATTATATATTTTTCAAAAGAAATTACACAATTTCTTATTCCGTTTCAATATGTAAGAACTTTACAAAACACCTTACACAACGATTTATAATAAAAAAAAACGATATTTTAAAGAGATTATAAACTTTTTGGCATAATGCTAACCACCGCCATTTTTATTTTATTTTACTTCTTTCTAAACTTTGGCGCTGTGAAACTGGTGTATAAGGATAGAAAACATTTAAATAAACAAAATATACAAGTAATTCTAAACTATAACGTTTCTGAGATATTTCTGGGTATATAAGATGGATGTGACATGAAAATGATGACAATTATTAAAAAAATATTTGTCATAGTTCTTATTTGTCAATCTTTACCCCCGAAATATTCTAAACGCGATACTTAATGGCACGATATTGTGATATTTTCTTGCATCTTTAACAGTTTTTTAACTATAGACACCAATTTCATTGTGCGCCGCAAGTTTAGAAAAAAATAAAAATGGCTGCTGCAGCTTTCATAAAAAAATGTTCGAACCCCTATGGCAGTTTTAGCACAACACTATCCTAATAATTAAGGTCCGTGTAATTTACTTAAAACTGACTCAATATCAATATTCTGTATGTTAGCCGAGTTGAGTAAATACCGAGTTTCAGGTTTAGTCTTCTTACTTACAGACTCTTCTGCAACATCACTCGTAATCCGTTTCCTTTTCTTTGTCTCTGGCTTCTCTTTTACTTCTATACTTTCAACTTCTAGAATAATCTCACTAACTTCTGTCTCGTAAAATTCTCTCATTTCATTCTTAATCGGAGTATCGATACTGGTCAGAGTAGAATCGAATATCTCGTAACATTGAGATCGTCGATCTTTCATTGGTGTATAAAGTTTCTCGATATTAGAAATCGAGTTAACCGCCATTTCGGTTTCTTTAGGGTTGTACGTAGTCGGGTCATCTTCAAACAAAGTCTTAAGGTTTGTGGACCTCAGTCTTATAGATACGCCGTCATCAATACATACTTCCATAGAGAATTTATCTTTCAATTTGGGAATATCCGTTTTTGGAACGAAGTTCGCTTCATCAAATTGGCACGTGATATAATTTTCTTTCCCCTCGACACATTCATGTACTGACATTTCTATTTCTTCTATATCATCATCCTCTTGCACTATTTGTAAGTTATTCGCACTAGAATCTGATTCTAATTTATCGCTAACGTTTTGTGCGTCATTTTTGTTTAAATTAAAATCGTTACTGGTCGATTGCACCGCCGTATCTTGTATAGGGGATGTATCGAGTAAGTCCCGTTCGATTATTTTCGCTGTTTCTGCGTCAAAACCTCGTTTAACTAAATCATTGTGTAAACTTCCTTCACCATCAATTTTCGCGGGAACTGTTGATTGTATGAACTCCTTTATTTTGTTTATTTCATCCTCATCACTGACTGTCGATTGGACTTTTTGTTTAGCGTCTTGGGAACCATCGTCTGACCATCGCAAAGGTTGTTGTTCGAGATCGGAATCTTGTGGGCAATCTTTTGCTACATCTTGGTCACTTTTAGATAGTTCAGATGAAGTATTATCAACTTTTTCTTTATATGAGTTCGTACAGTCAAGTTTTCTCGGTGTAGATGATTTTCTTCGGGACTTCGTTGTCACAGGTACAATAGGTGTGGATTGAACATTACTTTCTTTGCTACTTGTTCTCTTTCTCGATAACGATTTGGACGAAAGATTTTGTAATACAGTTGGCGTCTTCTTTTTTTTACTCGACGTTTCTTTAATAGATGTAGTTTTAAAAGGTTTGATTTTGATATAATTATTTGGAGTGCTTTTTAACAGCGATTCTTTTTTAAAGGGAGATTTGGCTGTAGGAATCACTTTCTTCTTCGGAATAGATTTTGATTTGGATCGGTTTTTCGCATCTACGGATTTTGCTTTCTTTTCTTTTATACTACTGTTACTAGACGTTGCCGAGGTACTTGAGTTACCATCATCTTTAGCTCTGCTAACAGGACTTCTATAAGACACATTTCTTGTGCATTTTCTTTGCGGTCGACTAGGTTTCTCCACTTTTTCTTCTTCTTTTTCTTCAATCTTGGGTTCTTCTTCATCTTTTTCATCTGTACACGGCTCTTGTACTACAGTGACAGCACAAGTTAATATTTCTGGCACAAAATCTTGATCATCAGGCTTGTAATATGAACCACCACTAGAATAGTCTGTTGGTCGGGAAGAATAAGACGATGGAGTCGCTTGTATTATTTTTGGTGAATCGAAAAACCGTGGAGTCGGTATATTCATTATTTTTATGTCAGAAACAGGTTCACCTGGAAGATCGGGACCCAGAAATTTTGGGGTTTCCATTTGAATATCATACAAAACTTGTTTATATGGAGTTTCTAATAATTCTGAAATGTTTAATTTTGCTCCAATTGCGTTTTGTAGCGAAAGCCTTTCTGCATCTGGAGTATCTGTTCGTTCATCACTGTTATTAAATTTCGTTTGACTCTCATTATTTTCTTTACTTGAATCCTTAGGTTCTAGTGTACTCCAATCAGATTTTGATATAATATTTAAAGTAGGTTTCACTATAGGCTCCTCAACCCTATCAACTATTGTAATTACTGGTTCCTTAACAATATCTGCAGATTTCACTGTTTTCTTAGCTTTTTTAGTCTTAGGTGACACTTTTTTTTTGCAACTCATATTACTTCCAGCTTTATCATCTGATATTTCTTGACTCTTCTCAACAATTGGTGTCATTTTCTTTTTTAATTTTTTAGGTTTAGGTCTCGGAGTAGACTCTATCGTTTCATCATTTCTTACAGCGAGTACTCTTAATTCCGAATCCCAATTCTTTTTTGTTTTTTTAATATGATTCTCTTTTGTGGATACATTTTTGGTTTCCATATCTTCATTTGAACTTTCAACATTCACTACATTTTGTGTATCCGGATTATCAATAACATCTGTAATTAAATCTTTGTTTGGATCTTGTTCATTTATAGTTTCCTGTAAAATCCTCCTTGGTGTAGTGAAATCTAATACTCTTACGTGTGAAGTCCTTCGGGGTGTCGAACTAGACTTTCTTGTGGGTGGCAAAATATTAGGTGTACTAGTTTTATTTGCAGTATCCATATTATTGTCTTTAGGCAAAGAATTATGTGAGAAATCGACAGTTTTAACTAAACTCATTTCAACTGGAATCTTTGTGGGTTCTTGAGATGTTGTATCTCCTGTTTTATTTGATGTTTCAACTGGGTTTGGGCTGTTTGATGACACATCCACTATTAGTGGACCCAACGATTTTGATGCAGTTGTAGTAGTGGTTGGTAAAGAGCTTGTTACTGTATGTACTATGTTTTGAGCGAGAGACACCGATGTTACAGTACTGCTAGACGGTCCTGCAATAGCAAATAAATATATATAAGAAAAATTATCATTTTTACAGTTATGAAATTAGTATGACTTGAAAATCTTTATATATGGCAAAAGCAATTTAAACATGGCAAGAAAAACTTAGGTTTTAACATAGTAATCAACAAATAAAAATCGTAAAAGTAAGAAATGAATAATAAATAAATATGTTGGGACAGTAACACACAGCACCTTCTAGTTCCATAGTAAGCTATGAGGATTGTGTTATAGATACCACTCAGATAGTTGATACACTACATAGTACACATATAAACTTTAAATACATACATATTATAAATAGAAACATCCATGACTGGAGTACAAACACTCATGCTCATCACACAAATGAATACCCCCAGCGGGACTCGAACCCGCAACCACTGGCACAGCAAACTGAGCCAAACGTGCCGTCACCAAATGTAGACAGAAGGATGATGGTGACTCCTCGTTATCCTTCCCAGTCCTATATTAAGCATCAATAGCGAGAACCAGACATAGAAACCAAAAAAATATATAAAATCTTAAATGACAAACAGCATCTAAAATAATCATTATATAGAAAAAAAATATAATGAGCAAACTCAATACCTATCTATTATTATTTTAAATGTAAAGATATAAATTATTTAAAGAAGTACACTCACCAGAGGCAGGCACGAGAATAATTGTAGGCATAGCCATAATTTCTTCCTTATTATAAGTTTTCCCCTGCACTTTACTTTTATATGCTGGTGTTCCATTTATAATAATCCTTTGCATTTGCAGCAACGGAGAAGAAATTGGTTGTAGGGGTGGCATTTTTAACATATTATTTTTGACAGCCTCATCAAATTTAACGTCTGATATAATTTTAATTTTCTGATCTTCCGGTTTTGCTTTTATATTTCTAAGTTTTTGATTTCTTTTACCATCATTGTTTATTGGTGTTGCCAGTTTATGTATAACCTGTGGCTTTGGCGGACCTTTTATATTGGTAATTGGATTTATATTGGTCTTGTTTTCTTTTGTTACAGTACTCCTGGAAAATAAAACAAATACAACATATTTACAGATTAAACAACCTCTAGTTATATTTCGTACTTGACTGCCTCGGCGGTGTAGTGGCTAGCATGTACGGCTGCACACCCGGAGGTCCTGGGTTCGAGTCCCGGGTCGGGCCAAATTTAGTTATTGAGTCTTTCTGTATAGTAAGCCTCAGTAACAGCCTGGAGTTGGGAAGTTGGAGGTGTTTCACCCCCGTGCCTCGGAGAGCACGTAAAGCCGTCGGTCCTGCGCCGACACTCTCATTGGTCGTGTCGAGCAGTCGTCCCACCGGAGTATGAGAGTGACAGGAATATAGAGTGCACTTGTGCACTATAATATCTCCTGCGCAATTTGGCTAGTCTCAATGTGATTGGCCGCCGTGGCCGGAATCGGTCAGGAGAACATCATCATATTTTGTACAATCTCTTGATCCAATAACTCACGGGGCATTATTTGGAATTATAAATATAATAATATGCAGTAAATATGACCTAAATACACAAGTACAAAATTCTATTTATTACTAGCAACTCACCCTCGCTTCGCTTGGGTTCGTCCTTAAGTTGATTCCCCATAAAAACTTTCATCCCCATTTTCACCCCTTTAAGGGATGATTTCCGGGATAAAATTATGTCCTTCCCAGGGTCTCAAACTATCTTTCTACTAAATTTCATCTAAATTGGTTCAGTAGATCCAGAGATTACGCCTTACAACCTCACAAACTTTACCTCTTTATAATATTATTATAGTATAGATAATTATCGTAATTTTATATTGGGGCATAACAGACTATCCCTATGACACTAAAAAGATTAACACTTAGTTTAAAGTCTATTTAGATTTAGATTTCCATAGTTAAGTCTATAACAATATCATAAAAGAATTATATTTATGGCATATATTATAGGTACCAGTGGCGAAGCGTCCATACGAGAAGTTTTACCTTTAAATTATCTTGCTATAATTTTACATACATTTAATTGTTTAAATATATACTTACATGTTCTTTTGGATATATATATATATATATATATATATATATATATATATATATATATATATATATATAATGCTATTATATATATATATATATATATATAATAGCATTATTTCTGAATTAATATGTATATAAAAATTGTATATTTTTGGAATGGCTTACCTCTGCTAAAATTTCACCCTCCGCCACTGATAGGTATACCTATATATTGCTTAAATTGAGCTTTCTTAATTTAGCACGTAACGGGACGTATGGGCTATGTGAATAATAAAATATTTATTACAATAAAAAACTATGCCGACCGATTTTCTTTTTATTATTATACTACACTGCAGTAGTAGGATGACAGAAATATTTATAATATTACAGAGAGGGCAATTTTTTCCAACTTAAAATAAAAATATAATCATACCGATTTTTGCAATCTATATAAATAAAAATAAATGTTCGAATGTTTGTCCTCTACGCGTTCTTAAACCATTGATACTTTATTTAAAAGAAAATTTTCTACCTGATCTACACGAATCAAAAATGACTTGAATTTAAAAACTATTTTTATTTACCAAATGAACAAAACCGAGTAACTATTTACACTATATCTAATATATTTAAACGAGCAATTCTTGTAAATATATATAATCTGAATCACGGAAACGCCTCCAACGATTTTCATGAAATTTATTATACAAGGGGTTTCGGGGACGATAAATCGATCTAGATTAGTCTTATGTCTGGGAAAACGCGTGTTTTCAAATTTTCATGTGGTTTTCTTTTGCATTATTCCACGCAAAATATTATGTTCGATAATTTCGCACGATCGGGTATAAACATCATGGTCAAGCGACCAAGGCGCAAGATTGAATAGGTGTCAGCGTTCGAATACCGGTTGGATACAAAGGTATAATTTTTTTTTGTATTTGTTCAAGTTATTAGTTTTTTTTTTAAAGAAAATGGTACTTTTTAACCAAAAACTTATGAACGTAAATAAAGCAAAAAATTTGAAAAAGTACGCATTACGAAAATAACTTATTTACACTATTTTATTTATGAACGTAAATAAAGCAAAAAATAAGAAAAACCACATATTACGAAAATATGTATACCTACTACAAAATTTATGAACAAAATTAACAAAAACAATGGTTCTTATTTACACTATTTTACATAATATGATTCTAAACAAAATAAAAAAACACGTCGAACCAAATTTAATCAAAATCGAATTAGGAGTTAGGCGTGAAAGCGTAACTTTGTTTGGACTTCCATATGAACATTCATCCCCTATTTCATCCCCACTCCGCTTTTTTTCGCGATTAAAGGTAGCCTATGTCCTTTGACCTTTCCAAGCTCTAGTCTATCTCTGTACGCTGTACTGTGTGTAAGCGTAACAGACAGACAGACAGAGTATCTTTTGCATTTATATTATTATACATAGTAGGGATAATGAGAAAGAAATTGTATTTGTTTGTAATGGATAAACAAAAAAATTGCTGAACCGATTTTGATGAAATTTGGTATGAAGATAGTTTGAGGCCCTGGGAAGGACATAGGATAGTTTTATCCCAGAAATCATCCCTTAAGAGGATCAAGAGGGGGATAAAAAAATTGTATGGGGGATCAATCATTTTTCAAGTAAGGGATATAAAACTCATACCTATACTAATATATAATCTATCTATTCCATACTAAGCGTTAAAACATACCTATGGATGAACCCGAGCGAAGCGAGTGTGAGTAGCTAGTTTAATATATAGAAAGAAATTACTTACTGCATATTATAATTTTCTGCAGTACTAGAATCTGGAACTGTTGGTATCTCCTTATCACTGCTACCTATAAAAACAAAAAAAAATACAAAATTATTTAGATAATTCAGATACAATTACATATACATATAGTATTTAAATATATATTTATTTTATCTTACCACTAACTCCAATAGCAAATTCTTGAAAAGATCCTGCATTATAGACAGGTTTCTGTGTATCATTGCTACTGTTATTTTGTTTTGGCAGTGGAAGATAATCATTTTTGCCATATTCTACATTATAAGTATTAAAGTTATTAATTTTCTGTTGTGTTTCATCTGAATTAACCTGAAAAAAAAAGTTAAATATTACTACTGCTTCATATCCCACTTTTTTGATATGGTATGGGTCTATTTGTTTGGCGGGTTTTAAAGTAACAAACAAGGATTTTTTTTAAGTTTTTACAACAATGCAATTTATCAAAGCAGTTTTAGAAGTCAAACTCTCAAGGTTTTGCAATTGCATTGCTGTTGATCATCATGGATTTTATTAATCAAAACATTGAAGCTTAACATAGGTCATTCAATGAACATGATCATTTTCAGTGTTGAGTGCACAAAGATATTGACTACTGCTGTTAATTTATTGTTGAATAAATCTATCTCAGGTTTTTGCAGACACCATCTTTCGTATGATTTGTTACAAAAGGGATTCAATTTATTCTATCCTTATCTATGAAACTGGCAAGTATTCTAACATCCAACTACAAATTTTCCTACATTTGGTTATTCAGACAACCTATTAGCATGTTATTTACATGCTCTTGATAGTTCTAATGTTGTTCACAAAAATTCTCAACATTTTCTTTGAATTAGTGCATTTGGCTTCCGGTATTAATGATACCTTCAAAGTTTTACAAATGTCTTACAATAGAAAATATTGCATGTTATTCTAAATATGTTTGATTCCCCACCAAAACAGATAACAGTTAAAAAATCATTGATATCCTGCCATCTTTTATTGTATAATGCTTAATAATCAACTAAAGCATTTATTAAAAGACTGGCTATTGGTTACGGCCTGTAAATGCATATATTTATTTAATCTGCAAAAAATTACACAACCTTTGCAGATTCAGCATTCTACAATTTTACTATTCTATTTATAGATAACTTACTGCTAATACATCCTCTGTATATAAATTACGATGGGATTTTTCTTCATTTACAACTATTGGTAAATGGGGCTCATATGTAGTATTTATAACACTATGAATCACATCAGCCCCAGTTTCTTGCTCCTTTTCAACTTGACTGTTTGACAAAATAGTTTCATTTAAATCTTCATTTTTAGAATTCTTTTTACTTTTATTAATTGAATTACCTGAAAATTAGAATATGATACTATTAAATATAAATTACATTAAAACAGTGATAATTATAACCTGATTACTATTAGGAATTCATTGACACATTTTAAAAATGATAGGTTAATTATATAATCATGAAGTTAATTCTAAGTTATTCATTTTTATATATCATAGCTTTGATATGGTTTTATTGAGAACATTTAGAAGCATCAATCCAATATCTTTTCCTGTAGATATAATAAATTTGCATACATACTTAATATATTAGGTCCCTTTTTAGTTATTAAATGTTTCTTTTTTTTAACTGCATACTTTGTAATATCATCTAATGATTGTTGAATAATTTTCTAATAACTAGAAATAAATTACAATATGATATTATGTGAAAATAATATTTAAAATACTTACCAGGTAAATCATCTAAAGATGTTGTTTCAGTAGAAATGCCAAAGTTAGTTTCTATTTGACTAGGATGTAAGGTAGACACCGATCTATGGGCTCTCTTACACACACAGGCACCCAAATTTAATGAATTACAGACATCACAGCCAATATTACTTCTTAAATAGCTTTGTTTTACACTGAAATGGTATAAAAACATTTAATTCGTAAAAAGGAAAATTATATTACAATTTACTAATACATACATACACTATAAGATTCATAAAAAAATGAAAGATTACTTTATTTTTTCTGTAGTACATTCTTGAGCATGAAGTCTGTTAATATCTACATAATTAACAAGAAACTTAACAATTTCTAATAAATTTGAACACTGCAATAACTTCTTACGTAGTGAATGAGGCTTACAGGTTTCCACTGAAATGAAATAAATGTTTTCTTATTTATTTATAAAGTACATGATTTAAGCTCTTACATAACTAGAACTAATTTGAATTAATATATTTTTTTAATATAATTTGTTGAGTAGTTTTACTTTTAGTTTGTAATAACTAATATATATTTATGGTGATATTTAGCTGTAAATACATGTTACACATAAACTTACTATAATAAATACTAAGAATAACAAGGTGAGACCTTGTTATTCTTAGTATTTATTACTTAGTATTTATTAGAATATCCCGATTATTGTGGCATTAAAAAAGTACCAACCATATCACTCATTACATGAAATTATACAATAAATAAAAAGTGTACCATAAATTTTAACTGCTCTATATTCGGCTAGAATATTCCTAAGTGATGTCATGACAATCCTGTCATATTCATTTCTAAAAACATCTAAGTAAGGGCTAGCTTGGAGGAATTCATCATAAGCTGTCATCAATTGCTCCTCAACAAGGTATCCTAAAAAAGTAAATAAGTAACTAGAAGCCATTACTAAAAAAATCCGTTATGAGGGATGCTTTTCGCGCTCCCGCCAAACAAAAACCCCTTACCCAAAACTAATTTAGCCAAATCTTGCGGTGGAAACGGTGGTAGAGCCATTTTTCTCACGTATAAAAATAATAAATTGATAAACAACACATATTATACGGAATATTATCGCAGAAAGTTTAAATATATTACAAAATCATTTTTTTAAAATCTAAACAAACACTAGTAAACCACGCACTTGTCAAATATGAAATAATATTTCGATTCACCAGTATTACCAGCATTTGAAATTCTATGCACCTAAATTTGCCATTTTTTATCCCTAAATTTGGGAAGAAAGCCCCTAAGTTGGCTAAACTAGTTACCAGCACAAACTTAGAAATGTTACCAATTATGTCATTGTGCGGTTCACTACTAGATGTCATATTTATTAGAAAATAATTTAAAAATTTTAATAGTTAACTCATCAAAAAGTTCAATCATTGAAAAAGCAGTGATAGCCCAGTGGTACCGCGCTCGCTTGGGAAACCGAGTAAAGCGAGTTCAAATCCCCGGTCTCACACCTCTGATATTATTTTCATGTGCGAATCATTTCCAATATGATTACCACTTGTCTTAGCGGTGAAGGAAAACATCGTGAGGAAACCTGCATGTCTGAGATAACCTAGCAAGCTTTCAAAAGACTGGCTTGATTCCCCTCGTACTGAAGGGAGGTCCGTGCCCAGCAGTGGGACGTTAAAAACGTCTGAATACATATTTAAGTCATGCTATTAAAGAAAGAAAAAGAAAAATCCCTAAAAAAATTCCCCCTATAAAAACCCCAAAATTTTTTTTCCCCTATAAAAACTCCGGTGCAATTTTTGCCCCCTAAATTAGGGAGGAAACCCATAAGTTGGCTACACTGCGTTTCACAGATTATTACACGTTAAGAATATGCACAGAAAAGGCAAGATATAACACTTACAAGTGTATACCTGTGAATAGGTACCTTTTTTCTTTTAACGTTGGGAAATGCATTTACGCACGAGGTGTGGGACTCACCGGCAAAGCCAGTAAAACCCAACAAAACCTTCCCCCGTCTTAATGGGGCGTCGCAGGATCGCTTACGCATCCAACTACGACGCCCCGACGGCAGGTCTGCCGAAGCAGACCACAACAACCACGGGGTTGCTCCACAGTCCACTCTGCTATCAGAGAAGTACCAGGAGCAACCCGCATGGTACACTGCCCTCCGAAGAGGGCCACCTCCCACCGCCCATCGAAGTGGGCCACCTCCCTGTGCGTTTCTTGGCTTCGCGCCCGGTTGGGTTGCCGGGCACTACTGAGCCCCCCCACCACGACAAGGTGAACGCACGTTGGGGGGGGGGGGTGAATAGATACCTGCCAACCCAGGAGTAACGCCAGGAAAAAAATTGACAACTTAACGTTTGTAATTTTTATATTCTATAGACTTCATACTTTCAGTTGGTATTAAATTTATTCGTTAAACTCATGAGTGCAATATTTATTAAAAAGTCAATTTTTAATTAATCATATCTGGTCAAGAATTTTTTAGACAACCCACTTGAGATATATTTTTTATTATATTAAATATGATATAAAATACTTTTCATCTATGAAACAGATGGGTGAAGTACGTTTCTAATCTTCGGATCGGATCTTAAACTAAAACTAGAATCTATAGCTACAAATAAATTAATTTAAAACATCTGTGTGTGATATTTTAAATTAATTAATTTATTATTTTATATATCTACTTCTTATCAGTTTTTCTTTTTTATTAGTCACTAGCATTGCCCGCGGCTCCGCCCGCGTTCAGATGACCAAAAACTAAATTCTTAGGTGTTACATATTAGTATACTCTTACATTGCAGTTTTTGTATTTTTCCTCAGAAATAAGATATTTTCCCGCGGTAAAAAGTATCCTAGGATCGCGCGCTACATCGCCCGGTTTATATAGCTTGAGCAGGCGGTCGAGCGATGCGGGGCAGAGGGGATGGACTCGCCGTAGGCATCTCAATGCTCGCCAAGCATTAAAAATGTTTCGCTACTAATTACTTCTAACAACGATATCTCAAAAACTATTCATCTGATTGATTTAGTGTAAAGAGCAATTTTAATCTGCATTAAATGACTAAGCTAACTAAAATATTCATTTGGATAAGGATTAATACCGAACTTAAGAAAATAACTTTGAAAATAACGTAATGTTTTTAATTAAAAATGTTAACATAAAAGTGGTTATTGTAAGTCAACCGTAAGAGATAGAGATATGCTATCGCGGACTTTTTTGTAGCATTTTTATAGATTTTGAATTCTCTAGTACATTACTTAACTGTATCTTTGCTAGTTTACGCGGCGTTCGCGTGGAAAGTTCCCATTTGGCGAGATTTTTTGCGACCTCTTCAACATTTGTCGCCGTATTTCAGCTAATTTACATAAAAGCATAATAAATTATATACCTAAACCTTCCTCAAGAATTACTCTTTCTATTGTTGAAAACCGTATAAAAATCCGTTCAGTAGTTTTCGAGTTTATCGCGTACAGACAGACAGGAGGACAGACAGGAGGACAGAAAGACGCGGCCGGGGGACTTATTTTTATAATAAGTATAGATTCATGCTTATATACATATATTGAGCTCTTATGGGTTTGACAACAAAGCCCAAACAAGTTAAGAAACTGTAAGTTTTGTACAAACTAATCTTTGGAACGGCCGAAATAATATAAAAAAAGTTTTACTTTTCTAGGCAGGCTACTTTATATCACAGGAGAGATGATTAATTTGTAATAAAGGATAGACGAAGAATGGCTTGAACGTCGTACAACAATTCATTAAAAAACGACATGAGCTACTTTTTACTCTGTGAAGGAAAAAGAAGAGTTTTGGGCTGCAGCGAAGCAAAGACGGATCACTTCGAAGTTTAAAATATACACATAAGTTCATATGAGTAATAAACCAATGACGCAGCCCTGTTCACTCTTCATCGCCAAACAAAGTTATGAATGTATCATACACACTCTTTATTAATTCTTGTTGACACTTTAGACACATTTTCAAGTAATGCATGTTCAAATTCACTGTTCACTGACTATTAAAGAGTGTAACTGTCCCGTGCTAGAAAAAAGTTCCAGTGTTAAATATCTTGGCGTCATAATTGATAGCAATATGACATGGAGACAGCAAATCCATTCAGTAGCGTTGCGACTAAGAAAGCTCATATTTATTTTCAGGAAATTAAGGAATGTGATAGATTTTCAATGTCAAAAAACAGTATATTATGCTCTGTGTCAATCCGTTATTTCATACTGCATTACGTGTTGGGGTGGATCTGCTAAAACGTTAATGTTGAGACTGGAAAGGGCCCAGAGAGCAGTTTTAAAAGTTATGTTCAATAAGCCAATCTATTTCCCCACGGCGGATTTATACGCTCTTAGTAATGTATAATCCGTAAGGAAAATTTTTATTTTACAAACTGTTCTTCGAAAACACTCTGAGCTTCCTTATAACCCTAGTATATTTTGTACTAAACGCAGATCCCACGCTATATGTCAAATTAATTCTGCAAGAACCACGGTTGCAAAACGTCATTACCCATATCTAAGCTGTTTACTCTACAATAAATTCAATAAATTATTGAATATATATCCACTCACATCTTATCGTTGCAAATCTGTATGTTTAGCATGGCTTAAATCCATTACGTATGACGAGACTAAAGAACTTTTGACCATTGTTTATTAAAGAATTTTGCATCCACAGACACATATATACACAGATACACATACACACAAACACACACTCACACACACATCATCATCATGTATTGTTTTTTAGTTTTTATAAAATAGTTTAAATATTGTACGGAGGCGGGCGTTGATATCTGCAACGCAGTTTATACTTTTGCAGTATCATCGTAGCCATTGTTGTTTACTGTACTTATAGGAATTTGATACTAAATAAATAAATTTCATTTCATTTCAATTAGAAGGATAGAGAAAAAGGTTTGTCAAATTTCCTGACAAATTTTTTATAATGCATATGCGAGCACCGCAGACTTTTTTATCGAATTCGCACAATGGCCTTGTCTCGGAGGATATACCGGTACATGCGGGTGTACGATAGAAGTGTATTTGCTCACCTTTTCTCTATCTTAGTGGTCTCGATAAAATAGTTCCTAAAACAATAGCAAACAAGCGAAGCGACATAGAATAAAGACTCTGTAACATCCTAGAAGACCTGGCCTATACCGATAACATATGCCTGCTGAGTTACATACACACTGACAAGCATGCCAAACCAGATGACCAATGACGTAAGGCAATGAAGATAGGACTAAAAATGAACACATCGAAAAACCCAGGAGACGAGGTGCAGGGGAACAAGCTCTCTCTGCCTTTGCTTATAAGCGCAAAACCTTTGAAGCACGCCCACAAATTAATTTACATCGACATTGCTTCAAAAATTGCTAAACCTAGAGCAATTTTAGCATAGTTCCGTTCCATATGACAATAACAGAAACATACTCGGAGAATAAAGCTTAAAATAATGTGGTCCAACGTCAATTGTGCAAACCGTGTTGATATGTGGTAGCAAGACGTGGATGGAAGGTTACTAAAGACTTCTGCTCCAGGTCTTCTTCGACCTGTATCTCCACAGAATTCTCAATATTTACTGGCGCGAGATAATTTTCCAAGCTAAATCTGGGAGCGCCGCGCTGCTCCAACTGCTGAGAAACCGATCGACCAGTAAACACACCTAAGCGTTCCCTTCGGTGTTTTCGGTGATTACTTTATTATTACATTCCGAGGCAAACTGTACACTATAATCTGTACTGTGTGAAAACGTAAGCGTAGGCGTCCTAAGTAAACCTGGTGACTCTCGATCATTGCAGAAGCGTAAGAAATAGGAAATATTCGGAAAAAAACGAAGCACAAAGATAAGCACGAGCCACGAAGGACCAAAATCCGGGATGACAGAACACGGTTTCCTTTCTTTTTAGAGCAGACCCTACCTTTTTTTTATGTTGGAAAATGTATTTACGCATAACACCTACATACATTAAACTATGTAAAAATTACTCCCAGTGTACATTAAATGAATGATCAATGAATGTACGTAATGAAGTATACCAGATTTCATTCTTTCAAGTTCATTCTATCATGGCGGTCATTCATGTCATCCATAATTCATATCGTCATCTAGTTGTCATAATTTACATTTGAAGTTTTCTAGTACTATAATTTGTATTATTTGAAATTACAGCTCTTACAACAATATTTGTATTCTTTTCATATTTTTCTTAATATATTATTACGATGAGTTCTTCTTCGTCTACTGCTCTTTTTGCTTGTTCCCGTTGTTTCTCAAGACATCCTTTTGAAGAATTATCTCCCGGAGAACAGCTTTGCAAGGTAATATCGTGTACATGTAATTAATTCATTTGACCTTTATTTACCATAGTTATTTATAAGAAATATGATATATACTTAATGAAAAACAAGTTTTGTTATGTACTACGTTTACAATTGTATTGACGTCAGATGTGACGCTGTAAATTTCTGGGTATTTCAGGAATGTCGTGGTTCCTTTCCCGTTGTCAAGTGTACTTATTGCCGCTCTGAGTTTCAACAAACAAGGTCAGTACATAAGCCAAACCATATGATTCATAAAAAAGAAAGTTTTCATATTTATTTTTACAGATAACTAATTTATTTGCAAAATCATTCAATACACACAAATACATATCAACAAGTTGACACTTGCTTATTTTGTAATGGCATTTAATATTGACATTCATGAGTTTATATTTATATACAAAACAAACTACACATACACAAACTAAGCTATTATTATCAGCATGCTAAGTACTTATAGCATTAGCAACAACTTTGAATAAATATTAAAAGTAAAATTTAATCAAAATATATTTTTTAAATGTCTTTAATGATAAAAAATATTGTTCTTATGTTCAGACTTGATGTTAAAAACCAATAAGTAAATAATCATATTATATATGAAAAACTAATTCTTTCACATTGCATATTTGCTCCCTAATGATTCTTATACTAATGTTTTAATATAATTTGTTTTGTAATTAAAAGAATTTATGTAATTTAATGTAGCAATATTTTTCCGCTTAATTATCTTACCAAATCTGTATTATACAAATCATTTGCTTTAAATTAGAATAGGTGTGACTGAAAATTTGAATTATTGTCTCTTATGGTATTACTTTTACCTCATTTATTGTACATTGATATTGACATTATTATATTACAAAGACCTTTATAGTTATGTACAAAATAATTTACTGATGTTGTATTATAATTAGATATATTATAGAATTAGGTCACATATCTAATTTATATATAGCAACTAACAAATAGTTTATGAATATTTTTTTGTTGTTTTCAGTAAATCAAACACATCATCTATTTGTAAGAAATGTGAGGCAAATGTTAAGGCTTATGGCAAACCAACAGCTTGTGAATATTGCAACATTATTGCTGCTTTTATTGGTGAGTTATCTAAAATATTATATTGTACTCAGCCCTTTTTAATGTCCCACTGCTTGGTACGAGACTCCCTTCTATACGGGGGATGATCAGCTCAAGTATGACTTTGATTAAAAGAGCAATTACCTTACTTTAATACTGCTGTTACAATAGTAGATAATCATTAATGATATTAGAATTAAATTCCCTCTTACACGGGAAAACTGTAAAAGAAATTTGATTTAATCTTTAGACATGACATTTGACTGATGTTACACCATATTAGTTTGGTTTTGGTACTGTAGCTTTACATTCAACCATCTTCAATGTTGTAGAGGTTTTAAATATGAATGAAATTATAAATTGAAAATATAAATATTTTCATACAACATTGCCTTAAAATAATATTTATTCAATGGCACAATTTGAATAATTGTAATGTTGATCTGAAAGACATTAAGAATCAGTGAACAGTGAGCATATTGTACTAATATTTACATAGTACAATATTACATTTGAAGAAGCACATAATGCATGACAATAGTGTAAAGGAGTCAAAAACTTTAAATATAATACTCTCTTAGATTTGACATTTTAAATAAACTATATAATACCTTTGAAACATCTAACACCTTAGTCTCTCCCGTGACCATGATTGCTGTAAAGCATTTGAAACGTTGGAAACTAAAAATCAAAATAAGTTCGCGAAAAAATCCGAAAAGGTAGTTTTATTTAAAACTTTAAATATCTTCAAGAAAAGTTTGAAACACTACATAATGTCATGCAAAGAACCAGATTTTGTATAAAATCACCACTGTTTAAATTGTAGACTATTTAAAATATTGTATTATTTGAATTTCCTAAATGTAACTTTACATTGTTTTTTTTTTGGGAATATAAGCATCTTGAACTGAATTTGAACATCTGGAAATAAACATCAAACCTCAATGTTTCAAACAGTAACACAGGAAAACTCCAACAACAATCTGTCTCTAGGTTTATAGCTGCAAAACAAGTGTCCTTTGGTCCATATCTCCCTTAATAAATAATCTGTAAATGATTTTTTAAATTTCAAATTATTTATATTATCTGTTTATAATCCTCAGGTAATAAATGTCAGCGGTGTGCAAATTCCGAACGCAAGTACGGTCCAGCGGTGACGTGTGAGCAGTGCAAGCAGCGGTGCGCCTTCGACAGGCATGATGACAACAAAAAGGTATCATTATATTTCTTTTTATCACATAATGATACCATTTTTCTATTTTTTTTTAAACAAACTTATTTTTAACTAAATCATACCATTATTAGGGTTCGAAAGTATAGATGATTCTGATTGATCACTCATATTATATTCTAACTCCTACTTGAGTTCGAATAATATAGAATCGGAGATTATATCGAATATCTAATGAAGGCAGCGACTGCGATTCAAATATTAACTGCGTTTGTATGTATTGTTGAAGTATTGTCATGTCCCGTGGGGAATCCCCAAACGCCCACTTTCATTATGCTGGTTAAATTGTTTGTTTTATTTCAAACGCAGTTTAAATTTCGACTTCGTTCTTCGCTTACAATCCTCGACATCTATTTCGATATATAGAACCTTCAAATTAAAACTTTCCGACTTAACTCCGACTTCGGTGTCGATAAAACAACCACGTAAGGATGTAGAACAAGCAATTGGGATGCCACTTATCTACATGTTACATACGTGTCTGTATGTATATTTGTCGCCTTTGCTCTCCATTAAAAATTAACAAGAAAAGAGATACTGTTAAAAAAATAACTTCAAAAATTAAAAAAAAAGCTTTATTCAGTTCAGTTCAATAGATTTAAAATCTTTATATGTCCTTTTTAAAATGTTAAAATTTTTTTAAGATATTAAAAAAATATGAATATTGTCTTTATAATGACTAAATTTACTCACGACAAAATAATATTATTGCAGGTGGATGGCAAACTGCTATGTTGGCTCTGTACGCAGTCCCTCAAGAGAGCGTTGGCTCGCACAAAACAGCACCTCTCAGCGGTGGACAAACACAAGCATCGATCACACAAGTTAGTTGATTTTGCTTAAATAAAATGTAGCTCAAAAAAATATAAAAGTCTAAGAAGTTATACATACTTCTTTGTCATAAAAAAACAATAACTACAAAAAAAATATCCTTCGTGCCAATACTATGTTCGACTGGTACTTTTGTCACGAGTACAAGGGGAACATGAACCTCAAGGAGTGCTCATTATATATGTATGTAGGGTGCCGTCAAAGAGTGCATGCGACCTCTTTAACACTTATACTCGCCTGGTAGGTACTTGTGATGACGTCACATGGGATGCTCTTGGTAAATATACCTTTTTCGTTCCGTGATGTTTTCTACCTTAAAATTGTTTTCTCATAGGGGCCGTTCATAAAATACGTCACGCTAAAATCAACTTTTTTTTAACCCCCTCCCGCCCCTATTGTCACGCTGTGTTACACTTTCTGTGGCCCCCCTAGAAATATTTCGTCACAAAAACTAAGATTAAGTTTTTATCAGACGGTCAATCTCGAAAAAGAATGGTGTACACAATTTGTTTTTTTTTTTATGTATGTTACGTGATAACTTTGCTAATGGTTAACCGATTTACCTCTTTCTTTTTGAAGTTATACTTCTTTTGGCACGTTTGGGAAAAATTATGAAAGTAAAATTTTTACGATGCGCGCGCACACCGACAGCCAAAGAGGCATGATGAATTTAGCTGAAAGTGACATGATGAAGTCAGCTGCATTCCTTTTACAAACAGAGAGTTGTGACGTATGGGATGAAATCTTTAGCTATTTTTGTTCTGTTACGCCAAAGAAGTATAACTTCTTACGTGCGTACATGAGTATACACACACGTTTTTTATTGAATAGACTGTACCTAATAAAGTAAGCATAATTTGAAGTAATTTAGTGTACTTTTACTAGTAAAAAGTAATTCTCAAACTTCCATCTAAACTTATTCCGCTATTTCCTATAGGTCTAATGAAGGTCATTAGAAAATATCCATTTTCATAGTAACTAGCATAATAAAAACGGTTGTATGTTTAAAGTAATAAAAATTTTTTAACAAAAAATCAAACTCGACTTCCAGGCACTAAAGTGTAAAAAATAACTAAACGGAGGTTTTCATTTAGAATAGATACTTAATCAGATATTTTCGAAGTCGGTGCCAGCCGATACAAAGCAAATCTAATATATTTCGATACGTAAAATACATAATATTTACCTATTAGATATTCATATCTTAAAATATTGTAGGCTGGCACCGACTTCGAAAATATCTGATTAGGTATCTATTCTAAATGAAAACCTTCGTTTATTTATTTTTTACATTTTAGTGCCTGGAAGTCGGTTTCTATTTTTTGTTATTTTTTTTTATTTTTCCATTTTTTGTGTAGATGCAATAAGCAGGTAATTTGTAAGAAGAAACTTTTTTAATAACATATTCGATTAAACAATTTATTTAAAAAATATATTTGTTGTTGATTTTTTTTAAAACCGCTCGACCGATTTCGATAAAATTTATATGGGACCACCTGGGAAGTGTAATACCCTTTGAAACAAAAAAAAATCCAAATCTGTTCAGGCGTCTTGGAGTAATCAGTGAACATACATAAAAAAAAAGATTCCGATGAATTGAGAAACTCCTCCTTTTTGGAATTGGCAGTCGGTTAAAAAGAGCTATTTTACTTTGAACATACAACCGTGAATAATACGTCACCTTGCTTATTTGTTTAAATGACCAATAGTTATTATACTTTACAGTAGAGTTTTTTCTTCTATTGTAAAAAAAACAATGCTTTTTTTAAGAACTAATATACATATATAATACTACATATTATGTAGTTTTTTTTAATTTTATTTAAATAAAATGTGTGTTTAAAAGTAAATAATTCTGTAATAAAATCTCTTTTGGGAAATTGGTTGTTTGAAATAAGCAATGAGATGACGATAATTATTTTTTAAAAGTTACTTGTGTTCTTTGTGAATTCAAAAGTTTTCTACATTCGCAGGTCGAAAAGTAGTCATAAGGACAAACGTAAGTCTGACATGATGAAGAACAACTCTGGTGACCTTTCCGACTCACAGCCAATGGAGAAGAAATCTAAATTGAATCCTTTACAAGGTATGTTTATTGGTTATATTTATTACTATATATTTAGTGTGGTGCCGTCTTATGCGAATTGAATTGAATTTGAATTTGCAATTCATACAATATAGTCTTTGGTTTACTATAGATAAAGCTAGTGATACATAAACATTGTACTGTCAGTCTAGACATTAAAAAGTAACTATTGTCATTTAGTAGTGAGAATATTTGTCTTTTTGATATAATTGGACCAGTCTTCACGTTTTGAGGATTTTTAGTATATGAATAATCTCAAAATATCCTTATTATTGCAGTCACTATGAAGGTTAAAGTCATTTTAAAGGTGTGATCAAAGAATATATTTCTTATAAAACTTGTTATATATTGTTGTGATATGTTATCTATGTTAATTGTAATTGAGCAATAGTGAAAAGTTACCTAAAAATATGTTTTTTTAAAGGGATATCCATAAAAATTTCTTATGTTGGTACTTAAACTATAATAACACATATAGTAACGCCACTTTAATATAACGTAGTATTATTAGAAATATTAATTTAAAATATATTTCTTTATCAGGGAAATTATATTTTTTTGTTTCATACATATAATGATATTTTGACTTCATCTATACATACTCGTATATTAAAATTGTAACTAAGCTGAATCTGTACATTAGATATTTTTTTGAAAATTTATTGAAATAATTATTATAATCGATATCTATGGCCGAATCTATGGTTTTTAGAATTTTTGTCTAACTGTCTGTCTGTTACCGCATCACAGAAAAACCACTGGAGGGATTTTGATGAAATTTGGTATAGTCATAGCTGGTTATCCGGGTCAACATATAGGATACTTTTTACTGCGGGAAAAGATTTCATTTCTCAGAAAAAATACAAAAACTGCAATGTAAGAGTATACTAATATGTAAAACTTAAGAATTTGGTTTTTGGTCATCTGAACGCGGGCAATGCTAGTACTTCATATAACTAATATTTGGGGATATGGTACAGCAAACTAGTCGCGGGTGTAAACTCGCTAGAGGATTTATTGTATTTGAAAACAAAAGTGTAAAATATGTTTGTCAATATTTAAAATATAGAAGATATGACATGATCCTATGAAAATAAACTTATTATTTTATTATTTACATTTATTACTGCTAATAACTTTTCTTTTGTGTAACCATGCTTTAGATAAAACATAGTTGACAATTCGTTATACGCGAATAGCATGAATTGATACTAAAGGTTTTATGTCGGAACTGCAAGCACTTCATCTGAACTTCTAATAATAATAATTAAAACATATTTCCTCCATTCAGGAATCGAACCTACTCGAATGGCATGACAATGGCACAAAGGCCACATTATAGTGCAAAATTTTTTTTGTTCTTTTTCACTTGAGAGTTATTGTTGTTATATATTTTTATAATAATATTCTAATTTTTACGTTATTCTTTAATTTGTTTAATAGCTCCTACTAAAATTTACACGTATTATTATTATTTTTCTTGCAATGGCACCCTTGTTTTTTTTTATGTTGATGTGAAAGTATTGCTATCAACGCTTTGTTTTTTTTATGTGAGTAATAATATTTTGTGTTTATTTTTTTATTTATTTTTTGTTTTATTTCTTTTAACTAAACTAAATTTTTCCTTATAGATATGTACTATTTGTTAGGTGAATTAGACCCAAACAGTTCAGATCATGTGGTCGCTATGACACAACTAAAGGAGACCATCGCTAGCTTACAGAAGAAAGTACAGCAAAAAGACATGGAGTTACTTTCCAAAGATAAATTGGTATGTTATTTGTCCATTATTTTCTAAATTTTTAGAAGATTTTTACAAATTATCATAAAAATAGATTATCTTTTCGGATTTTTTGAGGATTTATTTTGATTTTTGGTTTCGGACGTTTCGAATGCTTTACTGCAATCATGGTCACCAAATATCAAAATAATTCCGCAAGAAATTTAAAAGGATAGTTTTATTTAAAATGTCAAATATTCGCGTAAATCTAGGAAAGTATCACATAAATATATTTTTTTTCAGATAACAGAGCTAAAAGCGCAACATCACAACGATACAACAGATCTTCGGAATGAAATGAAAAATAAAGAGCGTTTGAACGAGACTAAATTCAATTTAATGAATACGAAAATACAAAATTTATTAAAAGAAGTGGCAACACTAAGTAAATCTGCAAAGAAAAATAATAAAAATACAAAGTCTGCGCTCGCCACTGAGAATAGCGGCAGCGGCACCGACAGCCCGAGCACTAATTAGTTGATTATACTTATTTATTTACTCGATTACCATTCATTTTATTTATAGTCTCGTTTTATAATGAAATGAACAAAAGAAATAGGTAGTTGACACAGTTAATCATTCAAATTCTTAAAAAAAAACTTTATTTTAGTGCTGGAAACCTGATTATTTTAAAATAACTGTAAAAATCGATTTAAAGGTGCTTTGGAATCGGTAAATAGTTGAGTTGGCAAATAAGTGTCCTACTTTGGTATTACCATACAAAATGTATGGGGGAATCGCATAATGACAGCTCATAAAAAGTATGTGAGTTGAGAGGTTTCCAATTTTTTTATACATTAATTATAAAAATTTAAGTAAATTATAATAAAAATATGAAAGAATTATTAAAATATCGCAATAAATGAAAACATTACAAAACTTCTAACTTGCGCTTGTAAGAATAACGATACGACCACACGACCTGAACGACCGACATTTAAATTAATTTCTCGCTCATTTATTGATAGATTTCAAAAAAAAGTTTTCACCGATTTATTAATTTTTATCTGTATTATAATTCCATTGCATTAAATATGACATTATCAACATCGTGAAACTTTTCCATTGATCGATTCTGTCGACTACCGAATTGTAGAAATAATTTTATCTAAACGTCATTTGTGAAGTAACCTGTGCCAAACTGGCACGCTTAAAAGTCACAAAAAAATAAAAATTAAATTCAAATAATTTTATAATGTTCAATTCAATTCAATTTTCTTGTTAATGGCTTCAAAATTTATAATGTTAATTTTCTATTTGACGACCGTTAAATTTAAGATTTAAAAATGTGGCAAATATTTGAACTATAACTTGTGTAATAGATAAGATATAGTGAAATTTTACCACGTCATAACTAAGCGGGACTATCAATAAAATCGAGGGGATCGAGCTCACTAGTGACATTTTAATGGAAAATATGTATTTTCCTTTATTTTTTTACTCTACAAATGGTTTCATTTGTAGATATATTTGGATGTTAAGTATAAGTAGGTTTCCATTTAATAATTTTGTTTATTATCTATAAGCGACTTACTAATTATTTTTTATGTCGAATAATATATATTTTATTTGACGGTGCTGCGTGATTTAGTTGTATTAGGTAACACACGCGGGACAAATGTATTCAATTTAAAAAAGTGAATGTTGCCAGCTACAAAAATTATATCATATCGATTTTATTATCTTGACCGTCGATTTTATTGAAATTAATAATTAATTATTTACATATACGTATGTATGGTAACATTGAAGAAAAGACACAAAAACGAGATTATTTTTGTATTAATTTTACAAATTATTTGAAATCAAACTTTAATCTAATAAACCGGTATTTAAGTATAAAGATATGTAAGTTTCATAATTATTTTACTTTTTATATCTTATTTTTAAATATCTGAAATCTCTAATTTTTATTTGACCTTTAATTTAATAATGAATACCAAAATTAGATTTACATACGTCATTGTCACTTTTATGTTACGCCATTAGAGGCGATTTCTTTGAATCAAAGACTTGACAATTAAATAAATTCAAATATATGTCGCCCTATACGTCTTAATTATTTTATTTGACATAGGCTTGCGACAAATCCCAATAACTATCTCTTTATAATATCTGTGACTGCTTACTAGCGATAGGAGTTTGTCTATCTCTAGTAAGGAAAACTTTAGATAGATATGTTATTGAGAACCGCCGTTAGTGGCGCTAGTGTTGAAATGGTTACTTGAAAATGTATTGTGCTTTATTTAAAGCTTAAAATAATTTTAAAGTTAAAAAAGTTAACATTTAATTACATTTCTTTATGAATGTTACATTTAAATTTTACAATATTCCAATATGTTTTCAAGTAGTCGCTTTAAATAGATAAAATAAAAAATTATAAATCATCGGTCATTTTTACCGGTAAATGTAGATTAAATTTTCAATGTAAAGTCGTATGAAACGGTCAAAATCCCGCGAAACGACTGAATGAGTGTAAGGTGTAGTAGTGATAATTAAAAAAAAAAGAAAAAAAAACGAAAAATCAAAGTTCATTTCCACAGATTTACTTAGAATTATTGTATATTTATTTGTAACTCTGATCAAATATAAAAATTATATTTTAAAATAAAACTTTCCAAATGTTTTATGGCAACACTAAAGTTAGTCCAAACGAATTTATAATGGGGGTATTAACATTTTAAAATTATGTCAAATTCCGTTTCAATTTTCTCAATGGTGAAATTATGATAATGTTAGTAAATGTAACATAAATACAATAAAAGGTGTTGAAAGCATTGAATTTATTTTATTAATAGTAAATAGTAACCATTATCATTATAGATCACTCGTGATGCGCCCTTGTTACGTTTGAGTACGTCACTATATAAACAGAAGTTTTTGGAAATAACAGTAATTTTAATAAGATTTTTTTGGAAAATCTTATTGAAATAGTTATTATTAGCGATACACAGGCCGAATCTATAGTTTTTAGAATTTTTGTCTGTATGTCTGTCTGACCGCATCACGAAAAACCAGTGGAGGGATTTTGATGAAATTTGGTATGATGATAGTTGGCTATCTGCGTCAACATATAGGATACTTTTTACTGTACTATGTGATAAACGTTTAACTGATAATCAAAAAGAAAAAGTTCTCGATAATGTTGTCTTTGTCAACAATAAGGAATATGCGTGATTTGTTTTATTTTTTTATAGAATAGCTTACATCGTTATATAATTAAAAAAATATCCAGCTCCAAAAAACTAAAATTTACTATTTTTTTTATATACCGATGATACCGAGGATATTTTAAACGCCCGCCGTTTCGTTTCATGTGACGTCACAGTATGATATAGGTACACAGAAAAATAACGACGCAATTTGTAGCGACAAAATCGCTAATCACCGTTTTGATATACTTTGATGTCATATTCGGTCTGACCAATGGCGTTCGTTTCAACTATTTTTAACTTCACACCTATATTTGCATTTTTTAATAAGTATTTTCTTAATCTATACTAATACAATAAAGAGGTAAAGTTTGTGAATTGTGAGTTTGTGACGTTGTAGGGGGTAATCTCCACTATCTTCTTACCAAATTTCATCTAAATCGGTTAAGTAGATCCAGATCTACTGAACCGATTTAGATGAAATTTGGTAAGAAGATAGTTTGAGACCGTGGGAAGGACATAGAATACTTTTTATCGTGGGAATCATCCCTTAAGAGTGTGAAAATGGGGATGAAATTTTATATAGGGAATCAACCTAGGGACGAAGCCGAGCGAAGCGAGGGTGAGTCGCTAGTATAATAATAAGAAGAAGTGAAGTTTCTGAGTTTGTGTTATTGTAGGGGGTAGTCTCTGGATCTTGTGAACTGATTTAGATGAAATTTGTTAAGACGGATAATTGAAGATCCTGGGAAGGACATAGGATACTTTATCCCGAAAACCATCCCTTAAGGGGGTGAAAATGGGTATAAAAATTTGTATTGGAAAGCAAGCTAAGGATGAATCCGAGCAAAGTAAGGGTAAGTCAATATTTTTAATATTTAAGTTAAAAAAACTTATTATAACATTAAGTGCGAAGTTTCCCAGAATGCTATGACGTTGCCACGATAATATGATAATTGCAAATATGTTTTGCTCTAAATGCACGTTTTTACCATAATGCAATTTAGTACGCTGTCTATCTCCCATATATTATACTTGTCCATCACTTAATTATTGTTCTAACTATTGTGACGCATACGTCTTTATGAGCTTAACAAAGTAAAGGTCGTTTGAATGTTTACGAAATATTATGGAAAAAAAACGACGAAATAACAAATTTATTTTTAAGTATGAAGTGGGAACTTTGTAATTTTTATCTATACATATAATAAAATTGTAACAAAGTCGAATCTGTACATTAAATATTTTTTGAAAAATCTAATTGAAATAGACATTATTATCGATACAGAGTCCGAATCTATAGTTTTTAGAATTTTTGTCTGTCTGTTACCGCATCACGAGAAAACCACTAGACAGATTTTGATGAAATTTGGTATGATGATAGTTGGTTATCCGGGTCAACATATAGGATACTTTTTACCGCGGGAAAATATTTCATTTCTAAGAAAAATACAAAAACTTCATTGTAAGAGTATAACTAATATGTAAAACCTAAGAATTTGGTTTTTGGTCATCTTAATGCGGGCGGAGCCGCGGGCAATGCTAGTTCCTTTATAAAGTACTAGTTTCTGCACGCAACGTCACCTGCGTGTAAAACGTTTTCTTTTAACGTTATTAAACGGCGCCATTTATTGATCAGTTCAGTAAATTAAAATAAAATTATAGTGAATCTATTATTCCACGGGAAAACGTTACTAGCACGCTCTGTACTATTTACAGTTTATCATTATTCATTACCCTCTAAAACCATATTATTGTACTTTTTCTTCCACTGTTTTTAGGGTTCCGTACTCACCATCATACAAGTGGACCATATTAGTAAGCCTTCACTGTCCGTCCTTTTATCTGTCAGTGGGCTGTATCTCATAAACCATACTAGGTAGGTAGTGTTGAATTTAACAACAAATAATAAATAACAAAAAAATAAAAGCCGACTTCAAACGAAAGCACTAAAAAGTAAAAAATAACTGATTGGTAGTTTTCATTTAGGTACTATACCTAATCAAATATTTTCGAAATCGGTGCCAGCCCATATAAAGCGAAGCACACCGACTTTTTTTTTATTCATTTATTTATTCCAAATGAATCTGAAAAACGATGAAAACGTAATGTTTTATCAAAGGTAAATTCTCTATTGACGCCAATATCTGAAACTATCTCGTTATAGTTTTAATTTTAAACTAAACTTTCTTATAAACAGCCAATAAATCTTTATTTATACTGATATTATAAAGATGTAAAGTTTGTGACGTTGTAGGGGGTTATCTCTGGATTTACTGAACTGATTTAGATGAAATTTATTAAAAAGATAGTTTGAGACCTTGGGAAGGACATAGGTTACTTTTTATCCCGGAAATCATCCCTTAAGGGGGTGAAAATGTTGATGAAAGTTTGCATTGGGAATCAAGCTAGGGAAGAACCGAGGGTGAGTCGATAGTTATGTATTATTCAACGTGGAGGTTACCTAAGTAGGTACTTGTACGCAGCTTCTACGTACGTTACCTACTTGTAAGTAACAGGTAAAATTATATAGATAATATTTAGTATTCAGTGGCGATAAGGCCATCTATGCATACGATTGTTCTTTTACTATTGTGTACAATAGAAAATTAACCTAATACCTAAAAACCGACATGCTAAATTTTGACTAGAACTTTCTAGTATAAACAAAAACATTAATTCACAAAATATACCACATCTGAAATAATCTTTACAAATAATAAGTTTTGTCGTCGTTTAGGAATAAATATGTACGTTTCGCCTTTGTGTGTTTGACAGCTATATAAGCCGTTTCAGAGCGAGTTTGTAAACAAAATTCAGTTCAAAATAAACCTCGTCAGGTCCCTGATATGGCTACGAATATTGTGTTTTTCATCTTTCTAATATTCCACTTATCTCATGCAAAGGGTTAGTATTTAAATTGTGATTAACTTAAATATTTATTTTAAAACATTAGTTCTGATTTATTGTAATAAAATATAATGTAACCTTTTTATATATTTTAAACTAGCTACTCACACTCACTTCGCTCGGGTGCATCCCTAGGTACGTTTTAATTTTTTTGAGCGGAACCCTAATTCTTTTTCTTAAATAAAAGTAGTCTTAGGTACACCTTATAACATCAGCTATCTGCTAATGAAAGTCCCGTCAAAGTCAGTCCAGAAGTTTCCGAGATTAGTCGGAGCAAACAGGCAGACAGACAAAATTTTTATAAATTGTGTTTTTCTTATTATATATACATATAATAAAATTGTAACTAAGACGAATTTGTACATTAAATATTTTTTGAAAAATCTTATTGAAGTAAATATTATTATCGATGCAGAGGCCGAATATATAGTTTTTAGAATTTTTGTCTGTCTGTCTGTTACCGCATCACAGAAAAACCACTGGTAGGATTTTGATGAATTTTGGTATGGTGATAGCTGGATATCCGGGTCAACATACCTGTAGGATACTTTTTACCGCGGAAGAATGTCTCTTTTCTGAGAAAAATGCAATTTAAGAGTATACTAATATATAAAACCTAAGAATTTGGTTTTTGGTCATCTGATCGGGCGGAGCCGCGGGCAATGCTAGTTACCTTAATTCATATGCATTTAGTGAAAAGCTGTAATTTTGACATTACAAACAGACACTTAAATTTTATTTATCTGTATAGATAAAGAATTTATATATGTAGATTTTAATTTTTTTAATAGTTCTAGATCTATCATGCTCACAAATTCGTACTTTTGTGGACGGTCATAATAACAACCGATATAAACTAGCCAAAGGTGAAGTGCCTAAACAGCCACCTGCTTCTGAGATGAAATATATGGTATGATTTTTAATTTATTATAAATCTATAAATAAAACATGACTTGAGGTACCTACTACCGTTATAATAAAGAAGGTCCTAACTAACAATTTGGTCAAAAATGACTTAAATGCAGATTCGAAATCAGCAAAAAATATGCTACTTGATAGAGATAGATTGATGCTACTTATGAATCAGGAGATACCATCACCATTTTCATCGTTACTACGTACAAACTACTACTAAGTATTAAGACAAAACTTCAAATATCTCGATATCAATTTTGACGAAGTTGCGGCCTTCTTTTTATGACGACAGCCTACCCTTCGGTATTTTTACTCTTAGACGCAATTTATTAAACAGTTTCGGAGGTTTTCAGAATTCGCAATAAAAACTGATTAATTAAAAAGAAATTGTTTTTAATTACAATTTTTTTATTTGTAATTTTTTGTAATAACAATTTCTGGCAAGATCTCTATTTAAATATTCGTGATTATGAGCAAAACTATGATAAGTTAAACAAATCGATAACACAATTTTGTTTTAGGTAATAACAAGTGATAAATTTATTTAAAATTAAATAAACCCCCCGACCATCTTGGACCGATTTTAATCAAACAGCTAAGTACACTCCCGACTAATTCACCTTTTAAACAAAAAAAAACAAAATCAAAATCGGTTCATCCGTTCGGGAGCTACGGTGCCACAGACAGACGCACACGCAGACACGTCAAACTTACAACACCCCGTCGTTTTTGCGTCGCGGGTTAAAAAGGGGGTTAAAAAAATAATATAGGTAAATTGAAATACACTGAGGAGGTAGGTACACGTGGTTTCTAATTTTTAGGTAAGTACGGCAAAATTTTTTCGCATAAGCAAAACTAGATAAGGCCTATGTTTATTGAACTCTGATACACTTGTTTGCTCATTAACTACTCTCATATTCTATTTTTGAGATAAAATAAATTACATAACTTATCGTATACGGCTTTTACCTTCAATTTTTTATTGAAATACTCAAGTAATGCGTATAATATGTTAAAAATTGAGCTAACTGTGGAAATTCATTTCGCACTAATAACTTACAGTATAAAATAATATCCTTTTACATTTAATTTATATAAGGATATAATATACTGAGGAAATAATACCTTATTTAATATGATGATGATGTTCTCCCGACCGATTCCGGCCACGGCGGCCAATCTCATTGAGACTAGCCAACTGCGCAGGAGATATTATAGTGCACAAGTGTACGCGAAGACACAGGTGCACTCTCTATTCCTGTCACTCTCATATTCTGGTGGGACGACCACTCGACACGACCAGTGAGAGTTAAGGCGCAGGACCGACGGCTTTACGTGCTCTCCGAGGCACGGGGGTGAAACACCGCCAACTTCCCAACTCCGGGCTGTTACTGAGGCTTACTATACAGAAAGACTCAATAACTAAACTTGGCCCGACCCGGGACTCGAACCCAGGACCTCCGGGTGTGCGGCCGTACTTGCTAACCACTACACCACCGAGGCAGTTAATATATGATGTATTAGACCTTTTTTTTTTTTTTTTTTTAACGTTGGGAAATGCATTTACGCACGACGTGTGGGACTCACCGGCGTAATACAGCCAGTACTACCCACTAAAACCCAACAAAACCTTCCCCCGTCTTAATGGGGCGTCGCAGGATCGCTTACGCATTCAACTACGACGCCCCGACGGCAGGTCTGCCGAAGCAGACCACCACAACCATGGGGTTGCTCCACAGTCCACTCTGCTATCAGAGAAGTACCAGGAGCAACCCGCATGGTACACCGCCCCCCGAAGAGGGCCACCTCCCACCGCCCACCGAAGTGGGCAACCTCCCTGTGCTTAGCTTCGCGCCCGGTTGGATTGCCGGGCACTACTGAGCCCCCCCACCACGACAAGGTGAACGCACGTTGGGGGGGATGATGTATTAGACCTAAGTCGTTACTAATTTGAAATTGAACAGAAAATTTCCTACTAGTTTTAAACCTAAAAAGTTTCAGAGAATGAAATAATATTAAACACTTACATAAATCTGAGTAAAGCTGAAAGAAACTGCTGGTTTTTCTTTAAAAGATTTATCTGCTGTAATATTTTTTAAAATTAAACAAAAACAAAACTATCCCTCGAGGATCGTATATTTTTCCGGGATAAAAAGCAGCCTATGTGTTATTCCAGACTATAATCTATCTCTGTGACAAATTTCATCCAGATCCGTTTCAGCCGTTCTGGCGTGAAAGAGTAACAAACATCCATACATACCTACTCACAAACTTTCACATCTATAATTTTATATTACGTTGTATTATTTATAAATACGGATGATGATCTTCTTAGATATGGGATAAAGAGTTGGCGGCAAAAGCCTCGCAATGGGCGTCGAATAACAAGTTTGCACACAATCCGGATCGAACTGTTGGTAAGTTAACTTTCTTTACGAACTTACAGGCATACTGAGATCTCTCAATAAATTATTCTAGGATTTATCATTTATTATTTTGGACTAGTGTTAATGATGAATGACTCATATATTTTGACAATATCATTTTTATTATAGGATCGAAGAGATTCACAACAGGAGAAAATATTTATATGTCGTTCTCCACTGATTTGAACCATAAACTGGATATTTCCGGTGCGCTCAGTTCATGGTTTGACGAATACAAACACTATACGTATGGTCCTCTGAAAGCTTCTGATTTTACCGGCTCAGGTGAAGCTATTGGACATTATACACAGGTAACTGTTTCTAATATTATAATATCACTGTTCTAAATCCCTTTAAATGTAATCATTGGGAGTTGGTTTTTTTTTAATTTGATATGGTACGGGGCTTAGTTATGTATACATATGCTATATGTATACTCTAATGTACGGCGTATCACTCTTGAGGCTTTAGTTATAACTTATTCTGCCTATTCATTAAAAAACAGATGCGTTTTTACAATTTGAAAAATATCGTAAAATAACTCCTAAAAAACGTATTGAGCCAGGATTGTAAAATTTGTTTTTAACCGACTTCCAAAAAGGAGGAGGTTATCAATTTGTCGGAATCTTTTTTTTTATGTATGTTCACCGATTAGTCAAAGACGCCTGAACCGATTTGGATTTTTTTTTGTTTCGAAGGCTATATAAATTTTATCGAAATCAGGCAAGCTGTTTTTTAAAAAATGAACAATAAATATATTTTTTAAATAAATTGCTTAATCGAATATGTTATTAAAAAACTTTCTTCTTACAAATTACCTGCTTATTACGTCTACACTAAAAATGGAAAAATAAAAAGTTAAAAAAACCGACTCCCAGGCACTAAAATGTAAAAAATAACTAAACAGGGGTTTTCATTTAGAATAGATACATAATCGATATATTCGAAGTCGATGCCAACCGACAATATTATAAGATATGAATATCTAATAGGTAAATATGTATTTTACGTATAAAAATATATTAGATTTCCTTTGCATCGGCTGGGAGTCGGTTTTTATCTTTTTTAATAATAATATGTGTTTGGGAAGTTTATTCTTTAATAGGATCATATTAATATTTTTTAGAGTTTCAGTTGTAAGACCTATTTAATATATTAGATTTTGATAATTTTTAAATTGGAACTTATGTAAATATAGGTACCTAGGTGTTTAGTCATCGAAAAATAATTAAAAAAAATTTAAGTTTCATTTTAATATGGCGGAATATATGCAGAAAAAAAACTAACTTGATATCTCTTTGGTATGTACTGTCATACTCGTATGGTACACTCAGCGGCACATACGAGTATAACCGTCCATAGGTAATTAATTTTATGTGAAAATTAATATTTATAATATTCATTCTCGTTAAAAATAGCAATTATAGATTTCTATTATGCCCTTTTTAACGTTCCACTGTTACATTATAGATTTATTTGTAGCAAAAATCAGTTAAGATTCTGTTGACTAAAAAAAATCGTACATAGTTTTATCTGTTCTATCCATGTATTCTATCTCTTTCCTTCCTTCCTTTTTTACGTCCCATTGCTGGGCACGGGTATCCTTTCAATACCAGGAGAATCATGCCGTAGTCTACGACATTCTCAAAAAAAAATATTTAAGAGGGTTGTTAGCATTTTTATCGTGATGCAAGTATCTTACAGTCTTAAACGCTTAGCTCGATAACGCAAAAGCGCAAAAAGTGGCACATAGGCCACTTTAAAATGGTGGGCGGTAAATTGTGCTACTGAGTGCAGCAACGGCAATTTTGTAATGATAACGAATGGTTTCCTTATTACTGGTATAATAATATATTATGAAGTAAAGATAATTAAATTTTGTATATTCAACAAAACTCTAAGTGTTTGTGATTAAATGTTATGTTTATGTTTTTCTTCTACTTATATAGATGGTATGGTCTAATTCAATATACCTTGGTTGCGGAGTGTCTCAGAATATAAACAAAGGCAGAATGGAATACCTCGTGGTGTGCAACTATGGACCAACGTAAGAATTTAATTAATGTTTTACTACAATTAAGAAAGTCAAGGAGCTGAGTAATTGTATCTACTTGGTCCTGCCACAGCGGACGATTTATTGAGCTTCACCAACTGTAGATGAGTTCTAAGGTTCGAATCCTGGGTGATAGCAAAATAATTCTCGGGTTTTTTTCGTCAAATAGTTCTCAAACTAGGAACAGGAAGCTAGGAAAATGGTGATGTTGATACACCCAATATGGAATATATGTATTTTCTTTTGTTTTTATACATTAGCGTACATCGTTATATAATTGAAAACAAAATATCCAACTCCAAAAAAATAAAATTTAGTATTAAAAAACTTAAAAATATCATACAGATACTTTAAACGCCCACCATATTGGCGCGCTTGGCGTGACGTCATAGTCTATGACAACATTGCAATCGACGACTGAACAGGTCTAGATTGTTAGTAACAATCGAAAACACCAAACAACAGCGCTCTATTATAATAGACTTTAACGTCACATTCGGTCTGACCAATGGCGTTGCGTTTTAACTACTTTGAATTTCCAACCTATTTTTCCACTTTTCAATAAAAAAAAATTTAACAAAAAGAAATTACATTGAAAATATTGATATAGGCTTAATTCAAAAGCAATAAAGATTATTAAAAAAACATATTTCACCTTTATTTAAGTCACTCGCATATTCCCTATTGCCTTAAAGATTCAATATGGAACAGAGAAAATATTTTTATTTCTTTAAAATACGATAGCTAACAAATTAGTGTGATTAAAAACTGTAGTATACCAATTTTAAATCTTATTCGATTTTAAAAGTTTTGGAAGTGATTTTAGTAAAAATAGTAGGTAATATTTTAAAAGATATTTTACATCCTAAGAAAATCTTATGTACCATAACTCAGCCAGTGTTTACATTCATCAATGATAACAAAATATAAGTATATCTTAAAATTTTCAGCGGAAATTACTTAGGTGAAACTCCGTATAAATCCAATGGAAGTTCAAGCAATCAGTTGTTGTGTGTTATAAAGAATTGCAGCCGTCCTTACGGAGAAAAATGTTAGTTGTTTAAACAAATTGTGTAATAATCATAGACTAAAGAATAATATATACGTGGATAGTGCCATGAAACTGAACGTAAAGCAAAACAATATATTATGTTATTTTCAAATTTATCATTGAAAGTTTTCAATAAATAATAAGAAAATATGTAAATTATGAGATTTATAAATCTAAGTGTACTTTTAAAGTATTATACAAGAATATTACGATTAGTCTCGTATTATAATGAACTAAAATATTTAATTTTAGTGAAATGTCTTGTAAACAAGTCTATTAAAATCAGTAAAATCTAATTGAGTAATATTAATAATTAATTAGTAAATAAGTAAAATCTATTTTTATATATAATAAAAAATAGATTTTTACTCAAACTCAAAATGAATTTAATATTGGAATGCAAAATCATTAATTATTTTAGATGAAATAGAAAAATAAAATAATATTATTATTTAAATAAAAAAAAATATGTAAATAATCTTAGGTAGGTATGTGTAGCTTACCTATGTGTATGTAAAGTTTATATTAGTAAAGTACTTGTTCTGTAAAATATCTTTTTATTTCAGATAAAAACTAAATCCCACTTTGTTCTTTTTTCTAAGTAAACTTCTTTCTATCTAAAATGTATGTATATGTAAGAATCAACAAAATAGTCGGGGCAATTGAAGGGTTGCCCTTATATAAGGGGCCTCTAATATTACCAAAGATCACATAATATGTATTATACTTTATAATAATATAAGTAAGTATATAGTAACAATACTACGGAATAAAAGATATTTTTTTGGCTTTGCTCTTTTAAGCAGTAACGCAGTTGCGTAGCTATTCCAATGCAAGTCAATCAATGATTCAAGGGGTCCCAGCAAGCCACAAACGAAGAAACGAGGACTGCCCTCATAGAAGTTAAAAAAAATCGCAAGAAAAAAAGGTCCTAAATTTCCCCATATTATTTTTTACGAGGTCCACGAGGAATGTGTTCGTACAGTATAGAATATAGGTTCTATAGAACGATAAATGGTCCTCTAAGGTCAACTTTTTTACTAAACTAATCATAATTTCTTTATCGTGGCATGGTGAATATGAGGAATGAGGATCAATTCATTTTTATTGACAATTGACTCTACTACCACAGTCTATATTATGATTGTGTTGTATATAACTAACTTGAGATAAAAAAAACAAAAATAAAAAAAACGAGACTGCGTACAAAGCAAATTCAAAAGATGAGAACAAGTTGACAAACGAACATAGTGTTATGCAGTCGGAGACATACATACACGCAGCTATTGGAAAACATGTACAATCTACATATTATGACGTATGTATGTTTTCGACTGCATAATACTATGTTCCTTTGTCAACTTGTTCTCATCTCTTTAGTTTGCTTTTTACGCAGTCGGGTGTTTATTTGGCAAATTATTTTTTATTTACAGCTTTTTAGTTTTGGTCAGTTAGAAATTTTGAGTTTTATTTAACAATTTCTTAGCCTAAATTACTTTTAAACATATAAATTATATAACTTTCTGTACTCGCCTCTTAAAAGCCTATATTTTGTTACCCCACTAGATTAATTCGGACGAACATTTTTTTCGTATGAATCATCAAAATCGATTAAGTCGTTTAATAATTACGAGGGAACTAAGGGTCGAACACACATACAAACATACAGGTCAAAAACTAACCCTCCTTTGGGTTTGGTCGTAGTCGGGTAAAAACAATTGTAATTAAAAAATAAAAACTGATTATTCATAGAGTTATAATAAAACCCAGCTTTCAGGTGTCTACTGCCGGCTAGCTGACTTCTCGTTCAACGCTCGACAGTCCACGTTCGTTTTCATAATAATCAAACTTCTATTTTTTCTTACATGGAGAGAACAGAAGGGCAACTTTGATCTCGAAAATCTAAAAAGGGTAGTTCCTTTGAGTAGACGTCTCTATATTCGATTTTTCTAGCATTTTCTTAAGTATGGCTTTACAAGTGGCGCAACTGTTGTATAATGTCTTTATACACTGTTTTTATGCTTAATTTTTAAATCTATTTGCAATATGGTATCACTTGATTAAAAGAGATACCCTAATCATTCGAAATATTTTATCGCTAATAAATAATCACTGATAAAGTGTCCACATTTCAGCAATATTATAATTACCTTCTATTAAAACCATTTTCAAATATCTGGTTCATGTGTATTTATTGATACAATGGTAAGTTTTTTTAGTTTTTTTTAGCTTCATTTGTAACTAGATATCGATATACCTAAACTTAGAAGTCGATTTTAAGCTACCTACTTCTAAAAGTCGCGTCAATTTGAATTACTCGTTTATGTGAAATCTAAATGACACTACAATGTTTAATACTGTCTGCGAGCTGATCTGATGATGAAGCAAAGAGCATGGTGAATCTTCAATGGCTTCTAGTAAAATATGCCCGAATTCGAGTCGAATTTGGGCTATTTTAATCCCTTTGATGGGTCCTAGCCAGTCGGTCAAAGGAGTACCTATACTATTTCTGTTGTTGTTTAAAATGGAGTATCTAATTATTTTATACAAATATCTTGTTTCTATTTTTTTAATTGATTTACAATTCAAAATTCCTACCTGATAATTAAAATAAATTGATATCAATTGTTAACGCGGATAGAAGTAGTTAGTAGGTTAGCTCAATTCTACTATAGATAGATACTTTTTTATTTTGCAATTACATATGTGTATGTACTATATATGTATGTATGTATGTATGTATATATATTTTTGTTTGCGTGTATATTTATATAATAATTAAAGTATGTATGGGTTTATATATGTATATATTATGTAGGGATATTATTTAATTAGCTAATCTGCACACCGCCTGGAAGAGATCGCTTTTAGCGATAAGGCCGCCTGCTGTAGGTACATTTATTCTTTGGGTATTATTGAAGTTATACTTCTTTTGGGACATTTGGAAAAAAATATCAAAGTATAATTTTACGATGCGCACGCACACCGACAGCCAAAAAGCGACATGATGAAGTTAGCTGCATTCCTTTTACAAACAAAGAGTTGTGTATTGTGACATACGGGATGAAATCTTCAGCTATTTTTGTTCTGTTACGCCAAAGAAGTATAATTTCTTACGTGCGTAGGTACATAAGTATTAAGTACACACACACGTATTTTTTTTCGTTATATTTGTTTGCTTTATAATGTGTGCAATAAAGAGTATCATTATTATTATTACATATATTTATATTATTTTCAGATATCTTTATTAGTATTTGCCAGCGTGTTGGCATTAGCGTGGGCTGAGCCTCGTTTTATAGAATCTTCTATAAAAGTAGATTTGCAGCCGCCAGAATCAGTCAGGAACTTGGTTGCCAGAAATGTATATACATCATGGATGACTATGCCTATTGACCATTTTGACCCACAAAATACGGATACGTATCAAATGGTAGGCTAAAATTTTTATATGTATACTAGCATTACCCGCGGCTTCGCCCGCGTTAAACTAAAAAACAAACTCTTTGATACACCGACTGCAGTGTTACCTACGATGCCCATTTTTGAATTTAAACATTGCAGGAACCCACTCGAACGCACACAAAAATATCAAAATCGTCCCTGCCGCTTAGGAGAAGATCTATGAATAGAGAGAGGCAAAAATGTTACATTACTAAGTCTGGTCTATCCAATAACAATTTTCTCCTATTTTAAAATTTCTAAGTCTTAAGAGAACTCATATCATAAAAATTGCCTTCAATTTCAGAGATTCATGTTTAATGAGGAATTCTTCGGAGGTCCAGGATCTCCAATTTTTATATTAGTGGGTGGGGAATGGGACATCGTCCCGGGATGGCTGCAGGGTGGTAACATGTATCTCATGGCGCAAGAAAATAGAGGCTTTCAGATATATACAGAACACAGATACTATGGAGAGAGTTTGCCTTACCGGTGAGTGTGAGCATTTCTTATGTAGGTATATAGAGCGTGAATAAATGTTCAAGCTTAATTAGATTTGAATATATTATTCGATGAAACCGTAAGAATTGTTTGAATTTTAATAGGTTTTTTTAATACTAAACTAATAATCTGACTATAAACAACCGAGAAGCAAGCTCTTTTTAACCCTCTTTCAAAAAGGAGGAGGTTCTCAATTCGTCGGAATCTTTTTTTTATGTATGTTCACCGATTACTCGAAGACGCCTGATCTGATTTGGATTTTTTTTTATACTCTAGGGTATATACCCTTTGAAACAAACAAAAAAATTCCATTCGTCCAGCCGATATTTTAAGACACCTATGAATATCTAATAGGTAAACACGCATTTTATGTATCGAAATACATAATTAGATTTGCTTTGCATCGGCTGGCACCGACTGACTTCGAAAATATTTGATTAGGTATCTATTCTAAATGAAAACCTCCGTTTAGTTATTTTTTACATTTTAGTGCCTGGAAGTCGTTTTTTTTTTTAAGTTTTTATATATTACCAATATAAAGCACTACGATGAGCTGATGACGATATTAAAATATACAAATGAAGAAGAAAATAATGTGAATATTTGACATTAGCGACTAACCCTCGCTTCGCTCGCGTGTGTCTCTGGATACCAAACAGTATCATGTGAGCTACTCCAGATCATAGTCTATGTATATGTGTCCTTTTCATACTAATTAATCTGTTTCAGCATAAAGAGTAACAAACATACACTATATATAGTATTCCAATTGTTAAATCAAACATGTATTTATGAACAAATGTTGTTGTAGAAATTTCACAACCGAAAACTTAAGATTTCTAAACGTCGATCAAGCTCTGGCTGACCTAGCCCAGTTTATAAAGGAAATTAAGAAGATCGCAAGATTTGCTGATAGCAAGATCATATTATACGGAGGCTCGTATGCAGCAAATATGGTGCTCTGGTTTAAGCAAAGATACCCGCATTTAGTTGTGGGAGGAGTCGCTTCCAGTGGTCCCATAAAAGGAAAAGTTGATTTTACTGGTAAGGTTCTTTATGCAGTTCATAGAAATTTCCGATAAATCTGTTTAAATTAAGATTTGTTGCTGGTTCCATTTGGCTATGTACGAATATTATGAAGGTTTTAAAGTATTTTTTATGATATTTTACAAGGGACTAATCGATTTCGTTTGGGTATTCGGATGCAGGGGCGGCCTTAGCCATTGCGAGGCCCCGGGCAGTAGATCTTTGGGCCCTCGTCCTTTATGGAATTTATGTGAATTGAAAATATTTTTAATCATGATGCTTGACGAGAAATGTAAGAGTTATAAATAAATAAATGTAGAGTTTTAAAATTGTATATTGGAAATTCAGAAAAGTTAACAAGCACAAAGAAGACAAAATTATTTTGTCAACATTTTTAGTCTTTACGTGACTTGCCATTAATTAGTCTATTAGCTCATTTTGAATAATTTTTCAGAGATAGTTGACGTTATTTGTATCTTTTTAGCAGCGCTAGATTTACTAGGGGCACTCCGGGCTAGTACTCAGAGCGGCAAATTTTTAGGGGCGGCAAAATTCGGAGGGTTGGAAAAAAATGTCTTCACGGTATCGAAAATGCTTTTTTTATTTCCCAAAAATGAATAATTAAAAAAGATCAACTAGTAGATACATTTTTTGAACAATTTATGTCACTTGTAATTGTTATTTCTTTGCATTTTTCAAAAAAAAATAGGTGTCGTTGTGTTCACTGTTATCATCGCTAGGTCACAACTATCATCCCAGACGATGTCGAAAAAAATATTTCAGTTCAGTTAGGCTTAGAATGCAATAACATGTCACTTTTAGTCACTGAAAGGTCTTAAGGACATAGAAGCTTCTTGACCATCACTTTTATATATGTAGTACCTGGGCTACCGAGCTTCGCTCGGAGTTTTTGGCCTGAAGTACAATTTTCTTTTTCTTAAAAAAAAACTAAAAACTTGAATAAATATATAAAAAAACAAAAGTTTTTACTTTGTATGCGACCGAGATTCGAACCTGGACACCTCTGGTTGTTGATCTTGCACCTTGGCCACTTGATCACGTTGCTTATGCCCGAGCGTGCAAATTACCGACAATATTTTGCGTGGAATAATGCAAAAAAAAACTGCGTTAAAACTCGAAAACGCGCGTTTTCTCAGACATAAGACTAATCTAGATCGATTTATCGCCCCCGAAACGCCCTGTATACTAAATTTCATGAAAATCGTTGGAGCGGTTTCCGAGATTTTAGATTACAATTAAAAAAAAATAGTATAATTATTCACCAATAGATGTCAGAAAGAGTCATTTTTTTCAGTTTATGTTTAAGTGGCAACATTACGACTACCCAAACGCTATCTTTTTATTATTTTTCTTCCAATAAAAAAAAAGTTTACGTTTTAGTTGATTATCGATTAAGTTGATTATTGAAAACAAGTATAAAACGAGATTTTCTAAAAATACCTGGGCCACAGAGCTTCGCTCGGAGTTTTTGGTCGGAAGTACAATTTTCTCTAAAAAAATATGAATAAATACAAAAAAAAAACAAAAATAAATTATACCTTTGTATGCGACCGGGATTCGAACCCTGACACTTATCCAATCTTTCGCCTTAGCCGCTTGACCATGATGCTCATGCCCGAGCGTGCGAAATTATCGAACATAATATTTTGCGTGAAATAATGCAAAAGAAAACCGCATGAAAATTCGAAAACACGCGTTTTCCCAGGCATAAGACTAATCCAGATCGATTTATCGCCCCCGAAACCCATTGTATACTAAATTTCATGAAAATCGTGGGAGTCGTTTCCGAGGTTCAGATTATATAGATATATATAAATATATATTTATATAAAAGAATTGCTCGTCTAAATATATTAGATTTAAATAGAGACCCATACAGGTTTTCTTCTACCTACTTTCTTTTGATGGCTTGTTGCCTTTTTGAACGACCAAACTCAATTTTTCTACTGGTATCAGCAAATCTTTTTTCCACATAAATAATATACAAATTACAAGCAGTTGTACGCAGCTTTTCTTACTAATTCACTCTTTACTATAATTACTACGAGTATAATAACATAAAATTTAATATTAATGGCTTATTGAAAGATATGTGCCATAGCCATACAAACGCTACATGCTTGTACTAGCGCGATGTGGGTTTTGTAATGTACGGCGATTCTGATACACTTGGGTTGTTGTGCGAAGGCGCGAGGCCCCTACAAGAGCGAGGCCCCGGGCGGTTGCCCTGCTTGCCACCCCCTAAGGCCGCCACTGTTCGGATGTATACATGTGGTTCTGTAAAATATGTAAAGTACATACCTATTTTATACAGAGCCATCAATCATGTCATCATTAAAGCTTTTTTTTGCTTTTCTCTTCAGGCTTAAATTCCCACGCTTTATTAAAGCTTTTTTATTTCACTTCCTGACGGTCCAGACATAGAGAGTTTAGTGTCTCTTTGTTTTATTTATTTTCTGCCACTTTGGGGAAAAGTGTTTTAGGTGGGGATATTGATCTTCACCAAGCCAATACTGAAAACAACAGAAACAGATATCTCTCTCGATAAAACTACTAAATACAACGTATTTAGTAACTCCACATTTGTAATCATTTAGTTTATACTTTACTTTCATAGAAATCTAGCTAAATATATTGATTTTAAAATTTAAATTCTATTTCAGAATATCTGGAAGTAGTTCACGAAGCTTTTCTGTCTGAGGGAGGTGAGCAATGTATATCAACTATAAGGCAAGGTATCGCGGAGACTATCGCGGCTCTTTCCTCTGAAGAAGGTCGCTTGTCCATTCAACAAATTTATAGGTAAAGTTTGTGATTAATAATGTTGTCTGTTTACAATTATAAATTTCTTATCACATGATAAGAAATTTATATTATATTAGCAGTACCCGCGGCTTCGCCCGCGTCCAAACTTGCGATCGCTAACAAAATTCACAGGATCACCCGCTGGGCTAATCTGAAGATTACCTGAAAATTTCATCAAAATCGCTTCAGCTGTTTTGGAGTCCATATGAAACATACATACACACATCGATTTTTATTTAATTTAATCAACAATTTAAATTTATTTATTGCTCGGAAAATCAAGTCTTTTATGAAAATTTTGTGACACACCGACTGTAGCGCTACCTACCGGATCCATTTGTGTTTTCAAACCATCCAGGAGACCATTGAAATATACGTACAAAATTTCATCCAAATCGGTCCAGTCCTTTAGGAGAAGTAGGTTAACAAACGCACGTACAGAAGAATTATATAAATTAACATTAATTATTTATTTATATTAATTAGATTATTTTGAATCCGCATGTTTCGGATGTTGTTACTGCATGTAGCCGTGACAAACATGATAAACATGGTCACGGGAAAGACTAAGATATTAGTCGTCACAATTATTATTGTATACTATCCACAAAATTATACAATAATTTAGAAAGAAGAGACGAAATCAATTACCTTGCATTTTTTTTAATATAAAAAAACTGATTAGGATTGCTATTATTATAATCTATAGACTATAGGTGCAGTAAAAGCTAACTCAATGCAACCGTCTATTAGTTTGTTTATTACCTACTACTTACTTTAATTCTCGTAATACCTACTAAATCTATACATACAATGTACATATAATAAAATTGTAACTAAGCCGAATCCGTACATTAAATATTTTTTGGAAAATCTTATTGAAATAGACATTATTATCGATACAGAGGCCGAATCTATAGTTTTTAGAATTTTGTCTGTAACCGCATCACAGAAAAAATACTAGAGGGATTTTGATGAAATTTTGTATAATGATAACTGGTTCAACAAAAAAACTATACTAAACGTTAATACTAAACATATATATAATATAAGCTATTACTAATTCCCAGACTATGCTCACCACTGCGGTACGACAGCGAGTACGACATGGGCTACTTCTCGGGCCTCATCAGTTGGACGTTCTCGGGGGCGGTGCAGCAGGCGCGCCCGGGCACGCTCACTGCCATATGCGATAATTTCGCTACCGACTTTTATGGTAAGTACTTATATTATTAAATGAATAATTCTTGTATATAAATTTATTTCGCGTATCTCTGAAACAGCTCTTACGATTTGGACCAAATTTTGCATTTAGATAAGGTTTTGCTTTGGTTTTTTTTTCGTTATGGTTTTGAGGATTTTTATTTATATAGGACACAAAAAATTTAAAAGTAATTATTTGAGCCTTTTTCTATCTGCTCTCATGCTGACACTGTCACATAGCACCATCTCGTAAATTTTTATGGTACTTACAATGTTGCCAATGGATGATCGACCTACTGATCGAGCACCTATACGCCGATCGAAGGTCGGTCGCCGAGGAACTTAGGATAAATAACGATATCTAGGTACAAAATTGCCATATAAATATAAATAATTAAATATTAATTATCCTTATAAATTATTATGAGATCAAAATTAAGTTTTTTTTAATTTAAAATATCTGCCAATGAACGTGAGTCTGGACTCTGGTTAGAATATCCAACGAATAATTAAATATTGTTAATAAATTTTGAAGAAAAAAATTCATTCCTTGCGGTGGAATAATTAAACTAAAATTTTAAAATTAATATACTTTTTTAGTTAAAAATAATTAAAGAGTTCATGTATGAATGTACACGCGCAAGAAGTGAAACTTCTGTAAGTTATCGATACTCTTTATGAAATTCAATTTATGTTTTAAATAATTAGGATAGATGAGATACTGAAAATAACGCATATTTAGGCATATTACAATCATATATTTATAGAATATCATATACGGAAAGAATATAATATTATATATCATTTGTCAGACAATAACAACGGTTATCATGGCAGCAAACGTACGTACATTTTTCATAACGCATTTACCAGCTTACCCCCCAAGTCAAGCGTGTGTAAACAAGTTATATACTTCAATAATATCTCATTTACAGGAGTGACGCCGATGCAGAAGATTGGAGGGTTCATCGCTTGGCTTCAGAACTTAGGAAATGACTGCTGGCCGATGGAATACGAGAGATATATTCAAAATTATCACCGCAATACCAATTGTAAGTATTACTTAATACCCGATGCCGGATTCAACCTTAGCGCCGCCCCTGGGCATAGTAAAAAATGCCGCCTTATTATAGAAATTTTGCATAAAATGGGTAAAGTTTCGATAAAGTTTATTTTTTAATATAATTATTTTTTTGAAAAATGCAAAAAAATAATTTGATTTATATAGTTTTGTATGTATAGTATATATATTTGGTGTATAAATATTTGGTAAAAAAACTAGTAACGGGTTTGAAATTAAAACGATGTAGTTCCATCTCGCGACAAATTATACTAATACTCATCAATCCTGAATCTATTTCCCAACTGATATATTAAAGCACGTATGGGAGAGTCGCCCACACGCTTTGTTGACGCTGTCGTTAAGACGAATGTATATTAGACTGGTCATACATTCAAAAGACCGTTCTTTATTATATATGAGTCAGTCTTCTTTATCCTTCCACAGTTTTATGTGTATAATTTTTAATATCCCAGCTAGAGCATGGTACTACCAGACGTGTACTGAGTACGGTTTCTACCAGACGGCGCCGCGGTCGGGCACTGTGTTCGACCAGCTCGTGTGGCTCAGTGTGCCCTTCTATGTGGATCTTTGCAAGCAGGCCTTTGATCCTAAGTAAGCTATTTTACTCAATACTTAATTGGAGTTTTCCTGTGTATTTTTAGGGTTCCGTATCCAAAGGATAAAACGGGACCCTATTACTAAAAGTCCACTGTCCGTCCATCTGTCACCAGGCTGTATATCTGTGGCCAATTTTCACAGATGATGTATATCTGTGGCCGCTATAACAATAAATACAAAAAAACAATAAAATAATTTTTTAAGGGGGCTCCCATACAACAAAAGTGATTTTTGTGCTCCTTTTTGCTCGATATTGATAACGGCAACAGGTAGACGGTTGAAATATTCACAGAATATTTAGTTATATACATATTCATTTTAAAAATAAATTATTAAATTAAAACAAATATTTAAGGGGGCTCCCATACACCAAACATGATTTTTTGCTGTTTTTATAGATAATGGTACGGAACCCTTCGTGCGCGAGTCCGACTCGCACTTGGCCAATTTTTTTAAACATAAGATGGGACAGTCAAATTGTTTAAATCTACGTGACTAATAAAAATGTCTATAAGTCCAACATAAGAACAAAATCGCAAAATCGTCAGATTAAACATACGACATACACAAACATCAGCTGCAGGTTGCAGTCAGCAAAAAATATGTGAATGTGTCTCGATACACAGAAATAATAACACGGTAATTGTACATGCGAAAGTTCTACTAGGTGTCGATTTTTTCTCACTACAATGGTTCATCAGGTTTAAGTGAAAATCATTAGAAAAGAGAAACTGAGGGAATCTTTTAATATACAGAATTTACACATTAGTAATTTTTTATAAAAACTATTTTAAATAAAATTATTAATTTTTTTTGACCAACTTTAAAACACAGCTACTTAATTAGTCTGTAGATTTTTACTTTTTTTTGTTTGAATCGATTTTCATAATGTACCACTTTTAATCAATCAATTTAGTTGTGAATACGGTACTATTTTAAAACTGATTAAAAAAACAACAGATTCGACGAAGCATTCGTCCGCGACGCAGTGGATCGCGTGAACACCGTGTTCGGGGGGCTCCGGCCGGACGTCAACAACACCATCAACATCCACGGCACCGTGGACCCTTGGCACGCGCTCGGCGTGCACGACCGCGACCTCAAGCCCTCCTCGCCTACCATCACTGTTCCTAGGTATAAATAAATATGTTGGGACGTTTACACACAGCACCATCTAGTTCCATGGTTACCCGCGAGGCTTGTGTTATGGATACCAAATAGTTGATACACTACGCGTATTATATAACTTTAAATACATACATATTATATATATAAACACCCATGACTGGAGTACAAACATTCATGCTTATCCCACAAATTAATGCACCCAGCGGGACTCGAACCCGCGACCGCTGGCACAGTGAGTAGGGTCACTGCAAACTGAGCCAAACGTGTCATCATACTTTATAAATTACTTATACTCTATACCCACTACTTATTAGTGATGAAACGGATATCCGGCAACTATCCGGTATCCGGTGAATACGGCTTTATTTTGTTATCCGGACGGATACCGGAAATTTACAATGTACGATTCATCTTTCATATACAAGAAAAAATATTTGGAGCAAATAATACAAAATTGATTTGTAAAGGCAACAAAGTGCTAAAAGGTACTCTGACAAAGCTAATGGCTTTGGAAATGGCGACAGCATACGCTTAATAAGCCATCATGTCTTAACTCATTCTTTATCTCCACTGGGAATAGATATATATATATATATATAATAATTTAATTATTTCCAGGGCGTCTCACTGCTTTGACATGGGCGGGTGGCGCGTCACCGACACTATTAGGATGACGAATGCACAGCAGTTTGCGAGACGCATGATTGCACAGTGGTTGTCGGAATAGCAATCTTAAAATGTATTTTTTTATAATAAAACCTTTAAAAGTACCTTGTTTTTACTCTAAAAAACGGCTAATTTCGGTAATCCATCGCTCGGTCACTAAACGATTAATAAAAACGCTTTAGTAAACCGAAAAAATTATAGTTAACTTGTTATTCTTAAAGGTTATAATGTATATGTATATATACTTAGGTAATGATATTGACATAAACCGGTTAATGCAATCATAGGTTAGAAGCACGTACATGTGCCATATACATATCCTTCTACTAAGCAATTCACCATTAGCAAAAAATCTCCAAATGTAAACGCACAAAAAATCATTTTAACCGGTTAATTTTGATCAAAATATAACCTAAATTCGTCAAAAGCCATTTTCCGGATTTCAACCGGTTAAAAAACGTAATCGAAACCTTAACCCGAAACGCCTTTCCGTTTGGGGTCATTACTAAAACCGGTTAAAAAAATGAACGGATATCCGAGCAAGTAGAGCTCTTTTATTTAATTTACATCATAAACAAAAAACTGTTAAGTAAGGACATGGGATAAAGGATAGGATAAATAAAAAATCATTTCAGTTTCCCGATAGTGTTCCGGGAAGACATTTTAATATTAGTTTAAACTCCACATCCAGACAAATCGAAAATACACAGAAGTTAAGAATTACAAATTTGAACAGGTCGAAAAATATAATCACAAATGAACTCTACTCGCCTATCGCACCTCTACGAGTACTTCATCGTACAACTACGCTATCACTGACGCGGCGCATTACGTAAGCCGCCTGGGTTGAACAATGGGTATATTCAGTATTATAAAAACATCTTAAAACACCTATCTATATTGAAGATAAGCGCTGTCTGGATAGTAGTATGTAGGGCGCTTACGTAATACACGAACGCTTAAATGCACAGTGCACTACTGCCCCGGACTCGGTCGGTGTGTTTTCAAAATGGCTCTTTTCCACTTAAATCCTTTTCGGAAACACAACACAAATTGTACTGCGCGGGAGGCGGCTACACTTACAAGATACATCTATACTTATTGTTATCGCCTTATCCGCTGTTAATCTGCACAATAACGTTGTCATAGTCCAGAATGTCAGTTCGAGACGAGATACTAAAAGTTAAGCTTACAAATTAAGAAACGCCTCCGTTGCAGTCGCAGGTTTGCAGTGAAGCGAGTACGCTCCACTGTGACGCGGCCGGGGAAGTAGTCTACTCTACCCATAAAATCATAGCACTAAACATTATCACAAGCTCACTCAAAAAATTCGAGATTAATGGCAGTCCATAACAAAACTTTGTCAATGTAAAGTATGACAAAAAAAAAAAGAAAACAAAAGGTGTCACTGGAAATAATTTAAAATATATGTAGATATGTAAATGGCAGGCAAGTTACAAATTAATAGGACTGCCCCAGTTAGACCCCGAACTAACTCAAATTCATAAATGACGGCACCCGTTACGCCTACCAATCTAATATAACGAATACTTAACAATAAAAATCGCGCAAATAAACGGATAATGGTCAACACTCACTGTCGGCGAGATTGGCTGTATAATAACAAAATAATAATTGTATATCTATAGAGCAGGGCTTCTCACTGTGAAATGTGAATATAAATAATAATATCACATGATTTTTTATAACATTAGCTCACTTTTACGCTTCACATTTACCATGATAATGTGCATTTTGAAATATCTATAGATAGATATATATAATATATATACAATATAATAGTCAATTTCGTATTTAAAAAATACTATCAAAGGACTGATATGGACATATGAAAGTTTACAATATGGTATGAATAAATTTATGAGAATCCCTGCTATAGAGGCGGGCTCCCGTTCTACAGAAACGCGTAGTAAGTTGGAAAATAAAGTATGTACAATATTCTAAAAGCTCAGGCCTGGAGTCAATCTACGACCAGGGGCTTGGGGTTCTCCCACGGGAAGCCCTCCCGCCCAAAGTGGCCGTAAGTACTTGTTTTCTGGTAGATTGGTGCTCTGAGGTTAAGTTCCCTGAAAAAGGAGAAAACATATTTCAGCTTTTTTAATATTCATTACCACTTAATCTATACAGATAAATAAAATTAAAGTGTCTGTTTGTAATATCAAAATAACGTTTTAGTAAATACATATGAAATTAATTATATATGGTACTTTTAAGAAAACACATCTTTTTTAAATTTTGTCTGTTTGTCCGTTTATTCCGGATAATCTCTGAAACGGCTGGACTGGTTGGACGGGACCTTCACTGAAAGATAGCTGACGTTATAGGTAGTAACATAGGCTACTTTTATTTTAGAAAAAAAAAATTAGCGTTCAGCTTAAAAAAAATAAACGTATGTAGTATTTATATAAGCTAATAAACATTTTATTCTACAGATAATATTATAAAATACAAAAATAACTATTTCACTTATGTCTCAAATTGTCCGCCTTCCCGCACTTGGGCAGGAGGGAGGTCCGTGTCCAGCAGTGGGATGTTAAAAAGGTCTGAAATCTGAATTCAATACATACTTGACAATTCTCCCCGGTCGCAAATCGAAGTTCTTCTGTACGATAGCGAGCAGTTCCTGCTGTGTCTTGTGCGAGGTGCCGTAGTCGAACACCGTGATGGACAGCGGTTCGGCGACACCGATGGCGTACGCGACCTGGAAACACATGTCAAAAAATACATTATTATCGGATAACTATTATAAATGCAACAGTTTATATTCGTGTACGTTTATAATATACTGAAAGATTTGGACGAAATTTAATGTAATCAAATCAAAATATACTTTATTCGAATAGACTTTAAAAGCACTTTTGAATCGTCAATTTTATATTTGAAATTTAAATTAAATGTCAGTGTAATCAGTCCGTGAGGAATCTACCACCGGCTCGGAAGGCTGTTCTGCTGAGAAGAGCCGGCGATAAGCTCAACAGTTGCTCCAGAGTAAAACATATGAGGATGAGGACTTAAAGCGCCGGTATCTCTGTAGTATATTCGCAAGAACATATTACATTGAAATATATTTTATAATCTAGATATTTTAACTAAATTTCGGTAAAAATCGATCGAAACTGATGGTGAATATTAATGTATTAAAATAATATAATTTTATTGCCACTCGAGTTCTATATACCATGTGGTGCCTCTTTGCTGTACAGTTGGCAGATCTAGAGGTCCTGAGTTCGAATCGGGCTTACTGAGATTTTCGGTAACACAATTGCTCAGTAGAGAGAAACTCGGATTTGGGAAGATGGCGGTCATTACACTATCATACTGAGGTGAGTGAGAGTTCAAAGTGCCTTCCTCAGAAGGCATCTCATTCATCATACATGCGGTTTTTTTCAAGTTTAGACAAATAAAAACTGCACTACAACATCCCTTGTATACATGGCTAGTTTCACTGACATTCGCCGTGTGGTGTATGTATGTTTATGTCATGTGTGGTATCCACACTACGCACCTGCACCATGCACCGCCTGCAGAGGCCTGCGCGCACCAGCGACTTGGCGACCCAGCGCGCGGCGTAAGCGGCGGAGCGGTCCACCTTGGTGAAGTCCTTGCCGGAGAAGGCGCCGCCGCCGTGCGCGCCCCACCCGCCGTACGTGTCCACTATGATCTTGCGTCCCGTCAGACCCGCGTCCGACTGCGGGTATTACATATAATACAATTGTATTACATAGTTATACTAATTATATTATTGACCACCCTAACACAAAGTCATCTTAACAAAAGGGGATAACTATATAATAGTAATAACTATCGAAACTAAATTGGACTTTTCGATTGCGTAAAGCATTCAAAATTAAACAATCGGGATTTCCCGCGGGAAATCGGGAACCAAAAATCAAAATAAATCCGGGAAAAATCCAAAGGAAGATTTAATTGCACGATTCCTGTTTTTATGTATGTGCACCAGTTTTTTTATGAATAACGAAATAAAATAATTGGTCCCATTCAACCCTTGATGCATACTTAAAGGTTTGAATTTTATTTAAAGTACTACATCTAGTAACATTTTCAAAATGTTTACATGCGTTTTACATATAATATTCATTAGTCCCCTAATAGAATTGTGTGTCGTTATTTTTTAGATTCTAAAGACTCCTTTATATGAAAAAACATTAGTTTCCAAGTGCTATATTCCTATTGGCTGTGTTTTGTATTTATATAAGTTTTCAGTAACAAAACAGCAAGACTTGTTTTAACTTGTTTCGTCATAACGTCAATCGACATAACATATAACATGCGATAATTATTACATGTTTATTATTTCATAATATACATAGATAATATATCTACTAAAAATTCATGAATATTTGTTAATAAGATACCAAAATTCTAGCTGTTTGACATATTAATATAAATAAAGAAGTAATTTAAAAACATTAACCACTAACGTTCTGAGATAAGTGAAGCTGATATGCTATAGAGGTCAATTGAATATCTATAAAGAGTATAGATTAATGACATTATTAAGGTTACTTAATATATTTAGGAAAAGAAAGAACATGAAATTGGTAACTTTTAAAACTACATGTTTATAAAAACTAGAAGTACAACAATACATTTACATACATACACAAACACAAAAATTTTGCATTAAGCATTTTAAGATATGTTCTAATTTATCAATTAGTCACGAGTGTGTGCACGTGTTTTACACAACTTTCTAATAAGGGGTTAGGAATTCTACACGTTTTATATCCATTTTTTTTAATTTGTTACTAAATCACGCCAGTACGGCTGAACGGATCTGGATGGGCACAGAGATAGATTATAGTCTGGAATAGAACATAGGTTTCTTTTTATCCCGGAAAAAAGTACGGTTCCCGTGGGATAGATTTGTTTGTTTTTCACTAGGGACGAACACAAGCGAACCAGGGACGAGTTGCTAGTATGAAATCTGAATATGTACTAGCAAGTGCATTCTGAATTACGTATAAACAGCCGTGATACAAATAAAACATCATATCAGATGTCAATCACTGATCTTCACGATGTGCTTATTTTTCAATTGTGAAGCAACTAAAATAGTTTATTTAATATTTAATGCAACATTTCGTCACATGCGAAGAGCGTGAAAAGCGTGTCACTCTCCACGTGCTAGTATGTATAGTGCATTACTTCAATGCTAATACTGCGTTGATACTAAAACGATTAATTTCAATTCTAACATTAAGAACAACTTTGCAAATTTCATCATTAAAATTGATATTATTTGCCTTAATTACCTTGGATTCAATTGTCTTTATTTCTTGTATTGCTTAAATTATCTAAAGTTTTGGAGGAAATTGTTTTTTTTTTTAATATTTCAAAAAGGAAGACTAAACTATTCAGCTATACATTTTTTATGTATGTTAGTTAATATTGTGTACTAATTGTGTATCAATTTATATAATCAGATTTGTAGTGTTAGGTTTTAAGTAAAAATAATTATTAGTATCAAATTTAAGGGGAAATTACTTTGCAAAACTAACATTTAACCCTTTTCATATCTATAATTTAAATGAAAAGACAAATCTAATAAAAAAATTAAAAAAAACAGATAAAACATTTCCCTATAAATTATAATATATATTTTTTTTATTAATAATAAAAATAAACCACATAAACAATAAATCATTATATTATTAATGTACTTGAGTTTGTCATTGTCCTTATTATTTTAAAAGAATTATTAACATCTTATATAATAATGAGTCTTAATTAAATATATATTTTTATTATATATTTTAAATTATGTACTTGAAAATAACCTAAATTTTTTTATCAAGATTTAAATTTTTCTATATGAAAAATGTAGTAGTGAATAAAGGCTTTATTTATTTATTTAATGGAATATGTATATATTTGCTTAGTAAGTTTAATAAAATTATAATATAAATATGTAGTTAAATTACTAGGCAGCCAACATACAAATATAATAAAATTATAAAAAAGTATTTTTAAATAATTTATTTATTGTAAATGTTTTGAAAGGAGTTAAAGCCAACATTTTTATTTAGGATTGTTGTCTGTATAACTTCACGCGTTGCTAGAAAATGCTTGGACAAATTCTAATGTGACCTTTTATCATACAGGAAGTATTAAAATTTTCATTTTTAACCCCCGACGCAAAAAAGACGGAGTGTTATAAGTTTGACGTGTCTGTGTGTCTGTGGAATCGTATCTCCCGAACGGATGAACCGATTTTGATTTTGTTTTTTATTTTATTTGCAAGGTGAATTAGTCGGGAGTGTTGTTAGCTATGTTTCACGAAAATTGGTCCAAGATGGTTGGGGTTTATTCTTAATTTATCAGTTGTCTTAAGGACATAACAAACTTTGATATTTCTATTGTACACTCCTCCATAGAAAATCTTAGATCCTATCTGTTTAAAATTTGTGGACACATAGTCACCAATATGTGGTATCATACCAGCAGTCTTCATCATACAGTCTAAACACTATAGTGAATCTGGACTACAATAGCCATATTTAGTTCTAGACTCAAAAAAATATTTAATTCATTCAAATTATAAGTGATCCAAAATAATCACCTGAGGTCCACCGATGACGAAGCGCCCGCAAGGGTTGATGTGTACTACAGTTCTTTCATCTAGGTATTGTGCGGGGATGACTTCATTTATCACTTTGTTTCTGATCTCGTCACGTAGTGTGTCCAATTCAATCTGTTTCAACAATACAGAAATGTTTAATTTTAAGGTATTATTTTATTAAACTAGTGAATTAATCTTGCTCTATTCTGACTATAGCTGGTAGCATAAATATGAGTTTTCATATCCCTAACTTAAGAAATGATGGGTTCCAAATATAAAAATTCATCCCTCTTCAAGTATATATTATTCGCGACAAAATGTAGCCAAGTCCTTCTCAAAGGTCCAATTTATCTCTATTCATAAATTCAATGGTTCAGCTGTTTGGGAGTGAAAACGTAACAAACAGACAGACTTTTGCATGTATAACATGTATAATAATATGGACTATATACACGATTTTTATATTACTTATTTCAATTTTTTTACAGTGAATTTGGTATACTTAAGACAGAAAACGATAGACAGCGTTATGTAAGAGTGAATGAGCACTATATTTGACACTAAAATGTCAAGGTAACGCGCCATATAAACAAAGCAAGAAAATGAGATCGTGTTTACACTTGTGTACACTAGAGAGATTTCAATCTTTGGATATACTATGTACTTTTTAATAGTAACTAGCAGAACCCGCGGCTTCGCTCGCACTAAAACTACAAAAAAATCTCTAAAATGGTAGGTTTCATACAAACTTTTATCCGCTATATTACCCCTTTATGGAATGAATTTCGAAAAATGCTAAACCACGCATTTAATTAATTGTATTGAAGAGCATTAATAGCAAGTTTCAAGTAATTCTGATCGTAAATAATTTTTTGGATTGTATTATAACGTGTTTTCCCGTGGGAAAGAGATAATCTCCCGCAGTAAAAGGTAACCAATGTCACTCTCCAGCCCTTCAACTATCTCCACACAAAAAATCACGCCAATCTACCTAGCCGTTTCGACGTGAAAGAAAGGCAAACAAACAAACACTTTTTCACATTTATAATATTAGTATGGATTGTAGTCTAAAATTAGTTTTTATAGTACATGCTGTAGATATTACAGATATAGTATATGTATGTTATAGATATATACTTTATATATATAATAAACATTTAAAAGGGGACTAATTTGCATATTAATTTTTAAAATGATTTTTACAATTTTTGTCTATCTGATGGCTAAATGTTATATATTGTGCTTAAAACAATAAAAAAACGCAAGCAAAGTCGCAGGCAGTATCTATTTTTTATAGTATCAAGGTTTTATGTTTCTATTTTTATACTTCTTTCTTAAATATATTCATTTCCTTTGGTATACAATCGTAAGTCCATAAGTATCTGATATTTTGCATTTTTTTACCATAATTAAAATGTTATCTATTAGAAATTCTTAAGGTAAGTAATAAAATATTGTTATCAATTAAAAAAACCCACAATTTATGTATTAATACTACTACTATCACTTCAACTTGTTATTCAAATAGATAAGTTCAAATAAAGTATTTAATAGACCCCAAAAGATAGTTTAAAGTTTATACCGTCAATTGACAATATTTAATCTTAAAGTTATAATATTAAATGATCTTATAATCTTATAATATTAAATCCTAATAAAATTATAAATGTGAAAATTTGTGAGGATGGATGTTTGTTACTCCTTCTCGCCAGAACGGCTGAACGGATCTGCAGGAAATTTGGCATAGAGAGAGATTATAGTCTGAAATAGCCGATAACTTCAGCCCGGAAAAATGCACAATTCCCGTCTGATAGATTGGTTTTTGTCTAGGGACGAAACCAAAGCTAGGTTGAGTCGCTAGTTCTTGTATGTATACGTTTATACCACGGTGTTTGTGGTTGTACTCCTCAGATTTTAATGATTTTTTTTGTATCTTTGGTAGTTATGAGAATAGGTCGTAAAGTATTTTTCAGCTTCCTACCCCCACCATTTTTTAAGTAAGTAAGGGCGAAACCGAGCGGAGCAAGAGTGAGTCGTTAGTAATGTATATAATATTAATAAGTAAATCAATATAATAGTTTGGTACCTTCTCAGAATGTTGCAGGGAGACGACGACAGTGTGCACCCTCTGTGGAACCGTGGCGCCGCCGGCAAATATGTATTCGCAAGTCACCTGCGAAAATTAACGTTTTATGATAGTTACGTACAATATTAAATATATGTATACTAGCGGACCCGACAGACGTTGTCCTGTCTACACTGCGATGGTAGCGCCGTCTGTCGGATCCAGTGTAAAATATTCCAAAATCAACAACTACTAATAAATTAAAAATTAATTAAAAAAACATTGTCCAGCGGACAAAATTGTGAATCTAAACCATTCCCAGATCCCCTTGAACACACACAAAAAATTTCATCAAAATCGGTCCAGTCGTTTGAGAGAAGTTCAGTGACATACACACTCACAGAAGAATTATATATACAAAGATAGAAAATTGATTTTGTTATCAACTTCAAAAAAGAAGGGAGTCAAGTGTATCAAAGTTGATACCGTATAAATTTTAAGAAAAATTTCAACCACATTTTTGTAGTTCTTGTACCATATTGGTTAATAAATATAATAATTAAGTTACATTGCACTTACACAGGACTAATATATATATATATATATATATATATATATATAAAATCTAAACATCATAACATAATAGCTAATATAATTAATTGTTTGTTTTCATTTAGAAATGAATAACAAAATTATGGTTTACATATGAAAAAATATTATGAATTGAGCCAAATCTGTGACTACACAAAAAAGGCTAATCAGACAGCCTCAAGGCTTGTTTGTTTCAATTATGTCTAGAAAATTTTCTCAATGATATGTGATAATCTACAAGTGTACAAAATATGCAATTGCAAATGTTTCATACACACCTGTGTTTTGGAGTCAGGTCGTGCCCACCAAAATTCACCATTACGTCTAAGTTCTGCGATCTTTTGATTTAGTCTGTGTGCAAGTACCACAGTGAGGGGCATGCATTCTTCTGTTTCATCGGTTGCATAACCAAACATCAAACCCTATATAAAAATCTTCAGTTAAAATATTTTGCATACAATGAATATATAAGAATAAAGCTGGAATGCTTAATGTTTAACGGTTAGTATGGAATCAACAGACTATATATTATATGATAATATATAGCCTATAGCCTTCAAACAAACTCTGCCTCTTTATGATATTAAAATATATTATAGTATTTATAGATATGATTGTTTTTTATTTAAGTAATAATTAAATTAAACAATTAGAATTATTTTAACCGATTCCAAGAATAATACAATTCCTATACTAGGAAAAATGATAAAAAATCCTATACTAGGAAAAAAATATATATTTGATAATAGGGAAAACCCATTCATGCAGATGTAGGAAAATATAGTAGTTTGTTATTCAATTGCATTAACTTGCATCAGAATAATAATATCCAAATTTATATGTACTAAGTTAGATTAAACACAAATATTTTAAATAAAACTATCTTTTCGGACTTTTTCGCGGATTTATTTTGATTTTTGGTTCCCTAAATGTATGTAGTAAAATAAATCCGCAAAAAAGTCCGAAAAGATAGTTTTATTTAAAATGTCAAATATTCGCGTAAATCTAAGAAAGTATTACACCAATATTTTTTTAGTATTTTAAATTTGAATATTCATGCATTTAGCCGAGACACATTCTTGTAGAAAGCCAATATTTGCTTATTTTTTGTATTTCACAATATATTGATAATATGATAAAAAACTAACATAGTGAATCATATATCCTGACGTTGATTTCTAATCAATATCAATTTTTAGAACTTAAAATTATTGCCATGCCCTAAATTACTGTGAATATTGATTTATAATAGTTTATCTGTTTAAAATAAGATTATCATTAATATAGATTTGATAGGGTAGCAGTAGCCCAGTGGTAATGCACTCGCTTAGGAAACCGAGTGAAGCAGGTTCGAATCCCGGTGTGGCGGTAAAGGAAATCATCGTGAGGAAACCTGCACGTCTGACAGAACCTAGCAAGTTCCAACCAAGCTCGAATGACAAGTGAAGACCTTCAGCCAGCACTTGGCCAGCGTGGTGGACTGTGGCCTGATCCCCCTCGTATTGAAGTGAGGCCTGTGTCCAGCAGATGGAGGTTAAAATGGGCTGAATACATAGAATTGATCACTAAATAAATGTGAGATTCTTATTTTCTTTGCTGATATCCTCTCACTATATGATGATTACCTGATCACCAGCTCCAACTTCATCTTCATTTCGATTCTCATGCACTCCCGCTGCAATGTTCGGTGATTGCTGATCCAGGGCAAGCATCACGCTGCATGTCTTGTAATCAAAGCCTGCCCCAACATGCATAGTGATGATTAAATATGCCACATGATATTTTATGAATAGTAGAATACATGATGAAATATTTGATATTTCCATAATTCAGCAAAATACATTTCTTATGACATAATAGCAAATTTTGCATGGAGTATTAAATCAATTTAACCATGTATCCTATGGGGAAATAGACATTGCTGAACAATTCCAAATTCTCCGGATGTTTTCCCATTATCTGACATGCAATTTTTACCCATCCAATTGTAGGCCCAATAATATTGTGCAATTCACAATTTGAATCAATACCTGATCTCCAGCGCCAATATCAATTTCCTCTTTGTCCAGATACACCCCTTTAGCTATGTTTGGACTTTGTTCTTCAATAGCCAATAATAAATTTAGTGTACGCCAATCAAAACCTAGCATGTACGAAATAATTATTTACAACTGTTCTTATACATGGAGGTCAAATAGAAATTTTGAACATGGCTAATTCTCAGAACTTGGCTAATAGCCAAAATAATGCTTTAATGTTTTGTTTAGATTCTAGCTTACTGCTTACCTTTTGAGGAATCATCATAACCGATGTGTTCCACTGTTTCTCTAACAACTTTTTGATAGTCAACATTTGCTTTTGACGTTATTTCACCGCACAACAGGATCATTCCTGTCTTTGTAACGGTTTCTGCAAGCAAGTATATATTATATATGAATTGAAAAGCAAATTACGAACAGATATAATACTCATGAAAATAAACTGTACTCACCGCAAGCTACTTTGGCATCGGGATCTTGTTTCAAATGCGCGTCAAGGATAGCATCGCTTATTTGATCACACATTTTATCTGGAAAACACGTTGATTTTTAATATATCATTCACTAGAGTTTATTTGAAACAATGGGTAACATGATTATTTTCAATTAAATATATCGAACCACGTGTTTAACAAATATCACTCATGATTGACTACTATTCGGATAATGATGTAACTTTACATATAATTTACATTACAATAAAAAGCACATGATGTTGTTTTCTTAAGAAGTATATCTTGACTTTTTTGACGCGATATATCATATGGACAAAAACAAACATTTTGTATTGATGCAATATCTGCGCACATGTTAAGGGCGGCCATCTTTCATAAATGAGACCATTCCTGTGAAAAACTAACCTGGATGACCCTCGCCGACAGATTCAGATGTGAATAGAAACACAGATCCATCTTCCATGTCATAACTGTGGCCATTTGTTTTAGCATATCCATTCATTTTTGAGGTTTCCGGCATTCTGAATTTAGAGTTAGCTCACAAAAATAACACGACAATATCCCCTCGAATTAATACTGTGGAAAAGAGGCCCGGTACGAGTTATCACTCTTATTTATAAGGTCGGTACGGCGCTATTGAGCTCCGTCTATTGTCCAATCAAATTCTGTATTCAGTGACACTACAAGGCTGCAGGCAGCTTGCTATTGGCCACAATATTTTGTTTTGATTCTGTTCTAACCTAAAAAAAATTATCACTACTCTATGGGTAGATAATATGAACTAAATACCCGCGTAATTTGAGTCACTATGAAATTAGATAAAATTATTGTCCATTATAAAATTATTTTTTACTAAATATATCAATAATTGTGTGTATTAAAACGTTTTATTTAGCTTTAATTTTTAAGTTTAGTTTTATTTTATAATAATTATTGTTTATTATTTTTTTATCAAAATTACCTTATTTTTGCAACGATATATTTCAAAATTCTTCTTCAAAATGGTGTAATATTATGAACACTACTTAAAATAGTCATGTGAACGCTTTGAAAACTGCTTAATAACTGATGTTGAAACATGCAACGTATTAACTTAAAAGATTAATTGGTGTATAAAATATGCAGATCATTATTATGATGAAATAGGCTAGGAGCCATAGGTAAGTATAGTTTAATATTTTACTACGTGCTTAAAAATTTGTGAATTTATATGATTAAGAAATAAGAAAACATTAGTAGTAATTCGTCTCATTTTTAATTGTAGATTCAGAAAATATGACCAACGTTTGATAAATTAGTTATACGGGATAAATCGATACGTACTATTCTGAGCACAATAGGTAATTAAACTGATTATATTTGTGTACCTACATGTCACCTTGTATTTTATGAATATCTAATACCTCCAGGTAAATTTCTAAGAAATAATTAAAATTATAAGAAATCTATTGTTAACTGACACGCCACGTGATCGCGGTCGTGGAGGGACTAATAGCTAATAGCTATGCTAATTAATTTATTAAAAAATCTATATTTATAGACCAAAATTACTCTAATGAATATATATTCAATAAGTGACGCTGTGATCAAGTTATTAATTTTTTTTATTATATTTGCACTGAATAGAGCAAGGTATACAAGGCCAGTAAATATTTTAATATATTTAAATAGCTCTTAGACTATAAAGAGTTTAAACTTCGATGAAAGTTCAAAGATTATTATTATAGTCCTCAGATAATAATAATGTTTTACTTGGATATTTGAAAACAATAACAAAATATTTGCAAAATGTGTCGTGACAGTAACTAGTGATCTGGTTAAATAAGTCCGATAAGCTTACCCATCTATACTAATATTAATAAGGGGTAAAGTATGTGAGTTTGTGACGTTGTAGGGGGTAATCTCTGGATCTACTAAACCGATTTAGATGAAATTTGGTAAGAAGATAGTTTGAAAACTTGGGAAGGACATAGGATACTTTTTATCCTGGAAATCATCCCATAAGGGTGTGAAAATGGGGATGAAAGTTTGTTATGGAAAGCAAGCTAGGGACGAACCCGAGCGAAGCGAGGGTGAGTCGCAAGTTGAATTATATTAAAAAAAATAAATATTAATTCTTTTTGCGATAAATTTTCTTTATCTCAACTCTTCAAAATTATAATTTGATATTCAAATAAAAATAACATTTCTGTTTGCTCGAGTATTACTTATTGTGTAGTGAGTACATATTCTGGTTTTATAACAAGTACCTATTTGTTTTGTTACATCTTATCCCTGGAATGAATGCACTTTGAAAGCCAGGCCGATTTTGTATACAATAATAATTGACATCTAATAGTTAAGTAGTGTATGTAAAATCAAGCTATATTTTGCCGTCGATGAGCCTTGTGGAACAGCTGTTATGTTAACCGACCTGTTGGACAAACAGGGAGAAAGGTAAATAATTTTAAATAAGGAATTTTCAGTCTATCTTTTTTTTCAATTTTGAATATTATGCAATAGCATCGCCGATTTACTTAGAAATTAATTTTCTATTTTTTTTTATTAAATCATTTTTTTATATCTTATTTTTTACTGACTATATCGTATGTCCAAATTAAGAAGAGAAATTACTTAATTCCATGAAAAAGATTAATGATTCACTTTTTTAACCGTTTAATACGTTAACTATACTGTGTCTTCTCCATTCCACACATTGGCGAAGTAATCTGTGTCCAACTGGCACGCCTGAAAGCCAAATAACAAAGAATTTAATTTGAAGATTAATGAAATTACCTTTAAGGACGATGAATTTTATGTTAAAGAAGTCATTTTATATATATATATATATATATATATATATATATATATATATATATATATATATATATATATATATATATAGTTTTGTATTCACATCGCTATCTTAATCTGGTTTTCTAAAACTTTATACCTACGTAGCAAACCGTACTAATTCTTCATTGCGTAATACGTGACTAATTGAAACACGATGACGTTTTTTGATTGTAACCATATTAGTAGGTAATTTGAAAAAAAATGTATCATATATTAAATATTCTATATTATCATTTTCTACGAATATTGATAAACTTTCAACTTGAAATAGCCTTGTTATTCTGATATTAAAAATTTGTCGCTGATGTCATAACACTATCAAAATGAATGTTTTCGTAATATTTCTCAAACACTTCATTTCGATTACAAATTGTGAAGTTGATAATTTAATTCCGTTTTCCGTTACGAAGCATGTATAATATATAAAAACCACCCCATCGGCCGTCTTTTTTAATTTTATTAGGTACATGCCTACTTTACGTTTAAAGCAGTGGAAACCCAGCGGTAACGCGCTCGTTAGGGAACCGAGTGAAACGGCTTTAAATCCCAGGTTTCGCAAATCTGGTATTTTCACGTGCGAATCATTTCCAACATGATTACCATTTGTCTTACGACGTAGCAAAAACATCATGAGTCATTAAAAAGAGCTGAAAACAATACGAATACTTAAATAGTACATTACGAAATTTCTCTATCTACTTTTTTGATAGTAATGTTAATTGTTAATTTAAGGCATTTTTTAAAAATATTCATTGAAAATTCTATCAGGATAAAATTCGAGAGTAATTCTCTTCGGATAGATTCAATAACTGAACTTACTTTACATTTTTGACGATTTATTAGTTGCCTTTCGTAGTTTTTTATATCGAAAATACTATTAATTTTATATTTGACTAACATTGCCCGCGGCTCGCCCGCGTTCAGATGGCCAAAAACCAAATTCTTAGGTTTTACATATTAGTATCCTCTTACATTGTAGTTTTTGTATTTTTTCTCAGAAATGAGATATTTTCCCACGGTAAAAAGTATCCTATATGTTGACCCGGATAACCAGCTATCACCATATCAAATTTCATCAAAATCCCTCCAATGGTTTTTCTGTGTTGCGGTAACAGACAGACAGACAGACAAAAATTCTAAAAACTATAGATTCGGCCTCTGTATCGATAATTATCATTAAAATTGATTGATAATTAAAATTGAGTTTGTGTTTGTTCGGGATAATCTTTTAGAAGTTTCTAAAAGATTATCCCGAACAAACACAAACTCAATTTTAATTTATGTAGTTACATAATATAATATGTAGGTAGTATACAGATTTTTGTAGAGTATTCACAAAAGAAAGGGGTATTATCTAGGAATTTATAATCATTTTGCAAATATAATATACCGGTGTGAAAAGTCGTCTCTTCATGAAGCGCACCCGAGAGGGTGAGCCTCTAGTGTTTTTATAAATGCGGAAGTATTTTTGTTGGCTTGTCATTCATTTACGCAACCAAGTCGACGTGATTTATTACATCGAGATGTTTATGGGCCGGAAAGTGACATGATTTATTTTTTATCCCGATAAAGTTTGTCGTATGTGCGTGTGCGTCGATACGCGGAACGCACTTTTGACGATGTTGAATAACAGAAATACCGGATAAACATATAACCTGTTCGTCTTTTAAAGTCGGTTAAAAATTGACTGTCATGTAAGTACTTGCCTTTGCAGCTAACATCCGAGACGCTATAAATTATAAAGTTTGTCTTGAACTGTTCATCAAGTCACCAACAGAATGCTGCAGATTATAAATATACCCAAGAATGCTCGGTGTAAGGATATTTAAGCGAATAGAGAACCAATGCTACTCGATATTCGTTAGTAATGTGTATTGATCCGTTCAACAAAAAAAAATTACGCAAGTTTTATTACAATTGTATATTGTTTTGTTGCGTGTCATTCTAAACATGCAAATTTTCATAGGCCTATCATTTTTCTCATAAACCATGTTATGTCTCTCTGGTAGATCACTACTTACTCGTAATCTATGGTCAAAGATCAAAATGGGCACGAGATTTGATAGACTTAGTTACTTAAAACTTTACGTCATCTTTTCTCCTAAACGGCTTGATAGATTTTGATGATTTTTTTAGTGTACTTACTCACCTGTATGGTTTAAGAACCATATGGTTTAGCTTGGGCCCCATAGTGTTGTTAGTGAGATCGAGATATTTTTTTTTAAATTTTAGACCAAATCTTTCTTAACTTTGGTAAATGCATTTACGCCTGCTTAGATTCAGGTGGTTATAAAAATATTTATCCGCTAGAAAAGCTAATAGTGCCCATTAAAACCCAAAGGAAATCTTTGCCATTTTTATTAACGAAGGGGTTGCTTTTCGGGGCACTTTACCTTTTTTTTTAACGTTGGGAAATGCATTTACGCACGACGTGTGGGACTCACCGGCGAAATACAGCCAGTACTACCCACTAAAACCTTCCCCCGTCTTAATGGGGCGTCGCAGGATCGCTTACGCATTCAACTACGACGCCCCGACGGCAGGTCTGCCAAAGCAGACCACCACAACCATGGGGTTGCTCCAAGGTCCACTCTGCTATCAGAGAAGTACTAGGAGCAACCCGCGTGGTACACCGTCCCCCGAAGTGGGCAACCTCCCTGTGCGTTTCTTAGCTTCGCGCCCGGT